AGGTATAAATCCACTTGCAATCCATTCTCTAACCATTTTTAAAATTTAGAGTACGCCAATGAAGTGCTGTTGTTAGATCGGAAGCACTTAAAATATCAAGTATTGATAATGACTCAAAAATAGTATTATGCAAGCCTACAACTGAGAACATTTTCTTGCAAAATTCTTCCACAAATTAAAATGATAAAAATATCCCTGTCTATATTCTATAACTATCTTCTGATTTCTCAAAAATTTAGCAATTTAGAAACAATGTAGAAAAAACTGGCTAATATAAATCAAAGAGTTTCTCCAGATTATTTCATTAAACTGACCTTCCAGAATAATACACATAATTTTTATTGTAATCAAACCCCAAAAAACCTACATTTAAGATAAAAGAGCAAGCACTGGTTGTATGACAAAGTTTTGCTAAATTTCAAGTTTGTTTGTTTTTTTTTAAATAATGGGTAGCCAAAGAAAAGTCATTAATATTAACAGACAATGACAGAAAACTACAGGAACTCCAAATACAGAAAGGCAGTTCATGTATCCTAACAGCATAACCATTATGGTTGAAAAACCACACAATATTCTTTCTCACATATTTTGTTAATGAGCCAAGAATGAGGGTCTATTAAGTATACTAGATAACTGAAATAGAAGTAGGAATCTCTGGTGAAGGCTGCTCATCCCAACAAAACTGAGAGTAAACAGGTTTGGAAAAGACACTGTTCTTAAGTAAAATATCTTTTTAGTTTTACCTGCATGAAAAGAGAACTATCATTTGACTTTTTTTCTCCTTATCCATTAAAAAAAAAGCAAAAAAGAAAAAAAAAGTTATTTTAAGATCCCAGTTTTAGGTATTAGAAGAAGAAAATCTTTTCTAAGATTAACAAAATACTTAATTCATCTTTCAGGTAGATCCTCAAGTATTTTAAGACTGGAAACCAATGTGAAAAAAGATGGTTGTGATATAAAGCAACATAGTATTCAACTAGAATCTAACAGCTTATGACAATTTGGCAAGAATTCTACTCTGAGCTAGGGTTTTCCCATGTACAACAGAGAATTCTTGTAGGAAATGTCCCCTTTACAGGGCCCTCGACTTCTTTGCATACTATCAGGCCACGCTTATAGAATCAGATGAGTGCAATGTTCTCAATGGAAAAAATAAATATAAATTTATTCTAAAATACCAACTTACTACATAAAATTTTCCAGAAAACAAAAGGAAGTAGTATCTAGAAATCATTTCATTCATTCTGTTTTCCTAAATTTCTATATATTTTTTTAAATTAAGAGAGTTATTAGTTTGGAATTTGGTTTAAAAATTTATTAAAGAGTAATTATATTGGGGGAATGAATCATGAGTCTTTATCATTATAATGAGGGTTACATGTATGTTCTTTTTTCCTGTAAAGTCTTGGTTCAGAATGAAAAAGTTACTGCTTGTCTCCTTTTTTAGTTTCCCCCCATGGTGTTCTATCACTGTCAGAAAATCCTAAAAAAAACCAAACCCAAAAAACCAAAATCACAATACTCTTCCACATTTTTATATGTCCCAATGCCAATTATGACCAGCAAATACTAGGGAAAAAGTTTTTTCTTTAATATTTTTATTCATTTGTTTGTTTGTTTTTTAGAGAGAGGGGAAAGGAAGGAGAAAGAGGGAGAGAAACATCAATGTGTGAGAGAAGCCTTGACTGGGTTGCCTCTTGCATGTGCCCCAACTGGGGACCAGCCCACCAGTAACCTTTTGCTTCGCAGGGCAATGCCCAGCCCAGTGAGCCACACCAGTCAGGTGGGAAAAGTTTTAATAGCCACTCCAGAGCAGCACAAGCTAAAATTTAAGTGACAACCAAGTAAAAAAAAAAAACCTTTTCCATGTTCAAAACTCATGCCCTTCCAGAGCAGTATTCTGACATTTCTTTCTAAGACAAAAATCTACAAGTGAGAAAATTTATATAAAATTTATGTAACAATAAAAACACTTCCCAAAGTGATTAAAGATTTAAATACTCAACTGAGAACCTAATGGCATTATATTTTTAGTATTTTGACGCCATTTTTATCAACTTCATCCAAATCTAGCTTTCACACATAAAGTTTTTATCCCTTTTGAACTTGTTCTCAAATGATTTTTCTCGATTTTTATTACTAAAGAATGCAGAGTCCTAAAACAACTATTTAAATATGAATTTAAAAGTACAATTAAGAGCCCTGGCCAGTGTGGTTCGACTGGTTGGAGCCTTGTCCTGTGCAATGAAAGGTCCTGAAAGGTCCTGGGTTTGATTCCTGGTCAGGGCACATACTGGGGTTGAGGGTTCAATCCCCAATTGGGGCCCTTAAAGGAGGTAATCTATGTCTCTAAGCCACACCCCCATCTCTCTCTCTCTAAAATCAATGAATGTATGACAACTGCCAAACTTGTCAAATCAATTTGTGTATCAATAATTTAAGATAAAAGTAAATGTTTTTCTTTCATAGGTAGGCAAGTGCAATTCCACTGATCCTAAACAGTATTCTGACTTTACTTAAAAATACACACTAGAGCCCTGGCTGGTGTGGCTCAGTGGATTGACTGCCAGCCTGTGAACCAAAAGGTCACCAGTTTGATTCCCAGTCAGGGTCCGTACCTGGGTCACAGGTTTTGGTCCTGCTCTGGGCCTGGTCTGGGCCTTTGAAAGAGGCAACCAATCAATGTTTCTCTCCCTCTCGTTCTCCCTCCTTTCCCTTCTCTCTAAAAATAAATAAAATCTTAAGAAAAAGAAATTGTGCCAGTTTTGGTTAAATCAAAGTTCACACAGTACTAGGTCAGTAGTTTGTATAAAACACTCTTAAAAATCACTTAAGAGGTTTCATGCAAAAGTGAAGAATAGACAAATAAAACTTTTAGTGGGGAATGATTCATCAAGAAACAATTATATAGTATTTGTATTCAAAGTCTCTAATGTAAATAAACTTAAGAGGATTCCTGAGAAATCTCCATACATAAGAAAAACTTAGAAAAGAACTGGAGAGCCAAGATCCAATACTGATTTCATAGACAATTACAGAACATTTACATCTAAAATATTTTTAGCCAAAAAATGTATCTGGCAAATTCTTGACTTAAAACTTACTTGCACATTTCCCCCAATGCATAGTTTCAATTTCATATGCAGCGTAACAACTGCATATAAGTTGTTTCAGGAAGAATGAAAATTTTGTTTTTGATGATGACAGGCTTAAGACAAATTATGCCTTATCTTCACTAGAGATTACAGTCAAACATGCATAAACTCTGCATTTCAAGATGTCCAGTCCTTAGCTCAAAAATTCATAGCAGCATTTACTGAATCATACTTGGTTACTCAGATCAGTTGACAAGGTGGTTTGATTTTAGAAAAATTTCTAAGATGTTCATATATTGGACATAATTTCATATTTAATAAAACCAGACTAGAGAAACAGTATAGAGAAAAAGTGTTTCTGGAAAAAAAAGAAATATCTTTAAAAGTTTCAGAAGATTAACAAAGTTTAACTTTCACGTTTTGTTTTCCAGGTTTAACAACAGGATAGTTATGTAAAAATCACCAATAGCCACAAATTATCACAATCCCTTAAAAGTATAGGAGAAAGTTAAAAAAAAAAAAGGCAGGACACAGTTTTGGAAAAACACAAACCAGTGTCAAACAAATGATAGCCTAAAACTTTTCACAATCTAGATAAATTTTCCCTTTTTAAGAAGATATTAAGAAAAAAATGGAGCATGCAAAGGAGAAACAGTACAAATCAACTAGAGAAAATTCCATACATTAATACTTTTAATAAAACTCCCCATCCCACCTCTACCACTGGACTGCTTTTGCACGTATGTATCTGACAATTATACTCCTTAACATAATCAACAAATTCTTTAGTATCACTATGTTACCGGCTTCTTTTATACAAGTTCTTATTATCTCATATTCAGGTACCTCCAAAATTGGCAAAATGAGATGTGAAATTCAGGGCTTATTATACCATTAGTAACAAGGATCCCCCCAATATTTTGAAAATTTATTTATACGTTTGTGACAGTCTGAATGAAGCAAACTTTCAGATTTAACACAGCAAGCATGAGTGATCCTTTGGAAAGCAAATCATTATGTAACATCTACTTTATGTCCCTCGATTAATTACTTCAGAACCATAAAGAGTGCTTTTTTTCTTTTAAGATCAAGTACTACCCAAGTTGCAATTTTTTCTCAAGACTCCGTTTTTCTCAAGATTACCGCTTTCCCCAAGGAGAGAAAGTGGTTTTCTTAAATTCCAAATTTCCAGGAATATGACAACGCTTCTCTAGGGACCAGAGAATGAAAAATAAAGTACTGTCAGCAATTTTAGGATCCACTTCACATAAGCAGTGATCCAGCCTGATAGAAAGGACATTTCCAAGAGCCTCAGGAACTAAATACGGGAGCAAAAGTAGGTTTACAGTGGTGAGTAGGCGAAATATAGTTTATCCCTGTATTATTTAGTAATCACTGTACTATTTTCCATACCAGCAACTGTAAACCTACTTTTGCCACACCCTGTATATCCTACGCTGCCACAAACATCAGAAGAGAACTCGGGGATGACGTTGCACTAAAACCAAGCTTAATTCTCATCTGTTATCTCACTCTATCTTCCTAACTACCTTAAGAGGTAAGGAATGGAGAAAGCTGGCCGCCCCAGCGCCTCTACGGGACACGCAACTGGGTTAAAGAACACGCACACCGTTACATCTCCAACCGGAGTAACAAAAGCGATAGCTCCAGCAAGAGTAATATCGCCTAGAGAGCCCCAAACTTCAATCCTTTAAGCAGTGTCCCCTCCCCGCAGTTTCGCCTACTCAGTGGCTCCGGGGAACTGCGGCGGGGCTGCGCGGAGGAGGGGCGGGCAGAGAGGAGAACCGCCCGGACCCCGCTCACCTCGCACACCGGCGCCGGGGCTAAACAGCGACGATGCTCTGGAGCTACCCCCCTGAGCCGGCCAACAGCTCTGGCACTCACCTGCGGAGCCGATTTCCATTCATGGAGCTGGGGGGTGTGCTTCGAGCGAGAAGGGCGCCCGCGACTGGGGGCAAGGAGGCGGCGCAGGGGGGCGACGCGGTGCGACAGGCACTCTCACTTGGCCGCGAGGCGAGGTGGCGACAGCTTTCCCTCAGCGCCTGCACTCCGAAAGCTTTCGTCAGGAGGAGCCGCCGGCAGGACACGGCTAGGCGAGAGGAGGAAGCGTGAGGGAAGGAGAGGTGAGGTCGGCGCGGAACTTGCGTCGCCCGCGGGCGCTTACGCTACCACTGCCCCTCTAGGACTGCGGCTCCGCCGCCGACCTCCCCGGGGGCCGCCCCCGGAAGCCCGCTGGCGTCAGTTCCGCTGCCCCGGCTCGCCCGACGTCCGTGCGGATGACGTACGAGTGTCGGGAGGCGGGCGCCGAGCCTGGGCGGAGCCTGCGGCTTGTGGGGGCGGGTGCAGGCGGTGCCGGCCCGAGACGACTCGGAGGGGTTGTAGCCCTCGAACCGCAGGTGCGGACCCGTGCCTGCCTGTGGTGACGTCGCGGAGGGCGGTGTGGCTTCTCCGGGGAAGAGCCTACCTGGAGCGAGGCGGGTGGAACTGCAGGGCCCTGACCTGCAGCAGAGAGAGCCGCCCTCATTCCCGAGCCCTTCCCTCCACGCCCAGTTTGGGCGGCCCCGCGCGCTTCCTCCTCAACCGGAGAGCCGGGAACCGCCACAGCTGGTCAACTCAATAGGATTGCTTTGACGACCATTTTTTTTTTGTGGGGGAAATGTACAATTTAACTTGGGAAAAGATTAAGAAACAGGCCATTCCACGAAGATCAGATCGAGTAATTTTCAAGTTTAAAATTCTTTAATAGCGCTTCGCCCCACTGAGAAGACCCGGACTCCTTTCCAGGGCCAAAACGCTTGGCGTTAACGGGGACCCCGTCTTTGGCGAGACTCGTCACCGCCGCACCCGTACCGCTGTGCTTCACGCACCTCCTTCCGGCTTGGGGCCTCTGCTTCTCGTTCCCTCGGCGGGGAATCCTGTCTGTCTCTGCTCTTCCCTTTTTGTACCTCACCTTACTTCAGAGTGCTCTTCCGGTGTGATGGGCACCCGTTTTTCTATTAGTGTTTTTCCTTAATAACCGTCTCAATCTGTAACTTGTTTTTACTAGTTAACCCTCCCACTAGAATGTAAACTCTGTAAGATTACCAGGGCCAGCACATTAACTGGGAAGTAGCAGGTCCTTATTTGTTGACTTTACTGATGATACTATTTTATTCAGGCTCAGGAATGGTTCAGGAATTTTCCCTGTCCCTACGCATCAGTAATGGTTAGACTTTTAAAAAACCAAGTGTACCCATTTTTTAAAAAAAGCTTGGGACAAAGAAGAAAAAGTATCCTAAGTATGTCCCCCATCCGCTCCCCCAGTCACTGTGGGACTTTGGTCACCTGAGCCTCTGGGCTTCATTCTCATCTAAAAAATGTAGAGAATAACACGTACCTTACAGTTGTGAGGTTAAGGAATGTACATAAAGCACAAAGAAAACCCTCCCTAAATGTTAGTGAATTTAAGAAGTAGTTATTTGGTGACTTTTATTATTTACTAGGATGGTTACTATTAAAGTTACCATTTTAAAGCACTTAATAGATGCACCTGCCTGTAAACACTTCATAAACTGTATTCAAACCCATATCTGATTCCAGTTCTTTCTCATTTCTTCCTTCCCATCCTTATGCCTTTTAGTGAAAATGCCCCCCTCCAATTTAAAAATGTCAAATGGTCATCAGATAAAACATGGTATCTTCAAAATCATGTTCAATCCCGGTCTATAGGAGCACCAAACGGTAAATACCGACTGTTGTGCAACGGTCTATCACACTTTCAACCCCTAAGTCTGGAACTACCCCCTAAATGACTGCAGGCTGCCTCTGCGTCTCCCAGAGTAGACACGGTGATCGTGATGAACCCTAGAAGTGGGCCACTGTCTTCTTTGTTGACACGGATGAAGCAGGATTTGGACCTTCTAATTAGATCCAGATTAACTAGTGATGTCTTCCCATCTACTTCTGCTGTGACCTCCACCTTGTTAGAGCGAGCCCATATTAAGTATCATGAACTATAATGCCAGGAAGAGGGAAGGCAAAAATTTGAACGATTCTGCCAGAAACACAAGTTGTATGAGGTTCGCTCCTGACCAAATGCACATCCTAGTTTTGGATATAACCTCATTCCCAAATGAGTCTGCTCTTAAGGGCAAACAGGAGGCTCTTTGTGCATCTTGTTAACGGTCACAGCCCCAGTGCCTAGAAGAGTGCCAGTGCCTGGCACACAGCAGCATTCCATAAATAGTTGTGGGATAGGTGGATGAGTGGGCTCCAGGAATGGGGCTCAGGAAGTAGGCTAAACCTCTGCCCTTATCCCTTATGGCACTGGTTGCTCTCTGGAGGCAGTATAAAATAGTACAGAAATCTCAGGAGCAAGGAAATCAATGCACGCTGAATGTTGCATTCCTAGGCTTCCTGTGCTAGATAAACACCACTGGATGAGGGCAACTGGACTGAATTCTCTCCTCTCATAGGGTGAAGTCAGTTGCGACAAGTTCAAATCTCTTCTCTTAGACCAGAAGTTTTTAGATAGCAGAAAGTGAGCTACAGTTGACCCTTTAATAACACTGGGGTTATGGATGCCGAACCCCAGGTAGTTGAAAACCTGGGTATTAACTTTTGACTTCCCCAAATTGAACTATGGTCATCCTTGAGGGGACTGTTTTCAGGAGTCCCTGTGGATGCCAAAATCCAAGGATGTTCAGGCCCCTCATGTGAAATGGTGTAGAAACAATGTGTGCAGTTGGCCCTCCACATTTACAGAATTCCAACTGGGGATTGACAATACAGTACTGTTTTCTATCTGCATTTGGTTGAATCTGCAAATGCAAAATCTGAGACTACAAAGGGCTAACTATGTATTTATTGAAAAAAATCCACATATAAGGGAACCTGTGCAGTGTAAGCCTGTGTTGTTCAAGGGTCAACTGTACTCTATACTGCAGCAGCACACAATATAAAACATCCTGGCTTTATACAGGATGTATAAAGGACAGTCAGAGCTGAGACCAAAGGCCCTTGGCTACTAGCTCTGATCCTAGAAAAGTCTTCTCTCTTAGCCTCATGTTGCTCATCTGTAAACACCCAAGTACCTGCATAGAGCAGACACTGCTAGATACTTATCCAAGCCCTTACCTCCTTCTTTCTTGCCTAATAGATAAGATTTGTTTTTCTAATCCACTGATTTAGAGGGTAACTCTGAATTAATCTCATCCAGGCAGGATGGATGATCTCATTAGCTTTGCCAGTGACAGGAGTGGGAAGATGACCCATTTCTAGCAAATGAGATGAGGCCAGATCTGCTGGGGTTTCCAGGGATGTTCTAACTTTAAATGAAACATTGGGGGGGGGGGGGAATTAGTCCCTCTTCTGCAGGACATTGTTCTGTCAGCATTTCCTTCCAGGAATTACAATAGCCATCTTGGGACCCCAAGGTGAACCAGCATGAGCATAAACCAACACAGGACAGCAGAGCAAAAAGACTGCAAGCCCCTGGTTTGTTGGTATTATCATTAAGCCACCATATTAAATCAAGACTTCTTGTAATGTGAAAGTTCCCTTATTTAAGCCAACTTAATTGGAGTTTTGTTACAGGCAATCAAAGTTAACCGATAAACTACTTCACATGAATGCTATGAAGATACAGATAAGGTAAACAGATATTATACAAAACACCTTCTCAAGTACTTGCTACAAATATATGTTGCCCAGTTAACAGGGCAGAGGGAACACTACTCAACCGATATTGAAAAGGGATATGCAGGGGTGCTAGGACAAGCCTCAACTAAAAATCTTGAGCTCCAGAACCAGACAAATCAGGCTTGGGCTCCCACCATATTTTTCTCTTTATTAGTGGTCAACAGCAATTTAATTTAATCCTGAAACCTTTTTTTATTTTTTTGGGGGAACATCAATCATTTCTAAACACTGAAGCTTATGGCAAAAAAAAAAAAAAAAAGTGCCATAATCATCTTCCCACTTGCTCTGCTAAATATTTCACTTGTTTCATTAGAGGTCATAAATTTAAGCCTTATTTCAATTGGGGAGAAAAAAAATCTCTGTGCTCCAATCTGCTCAGTTTAACCAACCTCACTAAACCGTGCTGCTGAAAAGGAGCATGGGTCTGGCTGATTTGCTCCCGAGGGAATCTGGCAGGTGGTGTCCACAGGTTCCCTCTGCAATTTGAAAAGTCACATGTGGCCTCCAGAGGAATGCTAGGCCCACTTATGCACACACTAGCTGCCACTGAAAATTTCTCACTGGGCTCTGTGCCAGAATCCTCTGAGCAATCTCCCCACAGAGTAACAATGCTCTAACAGTATCAGGGAGAAACGCCAGAGCTTACATGCTTGACATTTGTGCCATCAGCTGAAGGTACGAGACAAGACCATGGAATCTCCAAGGTGGAATGAGAGTGAGAAAAAATGATAACCTGGTTAAATTTCTGCTTACCTGAAGATTTAGAAATGCTAAGTCCATCCTGTACACTCAGTATCACCTTGATTCCCCCACCACCACACTCTGTGTTCATAAACCACAGATTTCTAGCTCTTTTCAATTCTGTTCACAAATATTAACCCCTTCATATATGCTATGGCCTTAAGATGACAAAAGTGAATAGAATGTAGTTTTGGCTCCTAGGAGTTCAAGGGCTCTAAAGGAAACAAGTTATGAAAATAAATAGAGCAAGCCGCTAAGTGCTATAGATATAGAATGCACTGAACACCATCTATGACACTGGTTAGGAACAAAATTAGACTTGTTTATTTTATTCTTTTACAAGTATCTCCTGAAAACAGGAGGAAGCTGGAGGTGGTGGTGGCGGTTGTGGTGAACAGCTTGGAAGACCTAGTCTTAGCCTTATTTAAATTAGGTTTTTCCAATGCTCCTTTTCAAGAAATACTGGAGAATGACCATAAAGTTCTAAAATCCCAAAGAAGATGGGGTGGAGGATGGTAAACTGAGTAGAAAAATATACCCCTTTCCCACTGTAGCAGTTCATGTTGTTAATCACACCCTTCTTGGATTCTATTCCATTCTTTTGACTTTTCTCCCACCTCATTAAATCAAAAATATACAAAATATCTACTAGTGATTTGACAGTTATCTTAGGCTCCGCTTGCTTTCCGCATCCCTTAACCTGTGTTTCCTAGAGTTGTACATGTTTCTCTCACTCTACTCTTTATCTAAACCATTTTTTTCCATTCCTATGGCTTTAACTATCATCTATAATCCCACATCTATAATTGCAGTTTTGTAGTCTTCCCTGAGCACCAAAACGTAAGTTGTTTACTGGAAACCTCAACCTCACTGCCCCATGGGAACCTCAAAACTCAGTCTCTACAAGGCTAATTGTCTTTCTTCTCAAAATTCACCAGGTTCCTTCTATAGTCTTTTCTATTCACATCTTGGTTAGAAGAATGTCCCAGTGCAGTCACTTGCTCAAGCGGAAACGTGGTCATTATTAGCTTCTACTTCTCTCTTCGCCTTCCATTATCCATTCAGTCCTATTAATTCTAACTCCTGAGTGTTTCTCAAATGCCCTTTCCCATCTTCATTGCTATAGCCTTATAGCCTTGTTTCAGTCCCTCATCATCTCTTTCCTGTACCAGGCGACCATGTGGCTACTCATAACCCCAACCAAACTTTTAAGCTCCTTAAGGAGAGTCTTCCTCATTTTTGAATTGTGCCTGCCTTTTTTCCCAACAATATTTCTGGACACAGTACTTTGCATGTTTGTTGAAGAATAAATAGAGGCCCTGTGAAATAGGATTACATGCAATCTGCAGTTTCAACACTCTGGGATTTGTTTTTTGCACTTTCCTCCTTTAGAAGTGATGGTTCTGCTCTTGTGGCAATCAATTATTCTAGCTTAAAATTTATCAGAGATATAATTAATCCCAACAGTTTGCTTCGCCAACAAGAAAAAAAGAGAGAGAGAGAGAGACCGCACTTTAGAAACAGAAGCCACCAATGTCTTTATAAAACACGGAATTGTGCTGCTGCTGTTGCTTGCTTTAGAAGTAACTGTACATTACAGCTGCTGGGATAATTTTACAATAACAGACTGGACAAGGTACAGCTCAGAGCAGGACACAAACACAAGTCTCAAAGGGAAACAAATGCAAACAAGTACACAGCTGTGGGGCTCCAGGGACAATTCCCTATCCATGCTGCACTTGAGAAGGATAAAAAGTTTAGAAACTAAAGTAAAACCCAGAGTAGTCACACATGCCCACCAGATGGCTGCTAAGTGCCAACATCGCACACCATTCAGGTTGGACTGCGTGTACAGGAAAGTCATTTCATTCTTTCTTATTGCTACTATACCAGGGGACACTGTGCATTTGATACATTGTCTTTACTTGCACAGTCCTTGGAGTTTATTTTCCTTTTTAAAAAAAGGAAGTCTGCCTTCCTCACCTTATTCTGATTTTTTGTTGTTTTGAGCCATTCCCTCCACTCCCATTCTTGGGCTCCCAAACAACAGCCAGAGGTTCTAAGTCAATAGGAGTAGAGTAAGAGGAGAGCACCAACCTAGCTTCTCCCTGCTCAGGGAGAAGGCAAGTCCTAATAAATGGGGGAAACAGAAAACCGGAGCTTCCCTTCTCCCCAATCTGCTTAGAAGGCCAAATAGAAAAGAGTGCCCCGCACATCCCTGCCATGATCAGACTTTAAAAAGGAAGGCATCCCAGCTACCATCCTGGATTGGCCTAGGCCCAATAAATATAAATAAAAATAGCTCCCCCCTATGTAGTTCCCAAAACTGCATTTTGGCTAGTTTGAGATGACTTTCTACCTTGAAGAGGAAAAAACTTCCATTTCCCTGTGTTACTCATGAAGCCAGGTCTAAAACACTGCCCTACCCACCTTGCAGATATTCCACGGGCCAGCTAAGAACCATCTCTTTGGCTGCCCATCTTGGGTGTTAAGTCTCATTTACAGAATTCTGGACAAGAAAAAGAAAACTCCAAGAACACTGTAGCTTAGCTGAAGAGGAACGATCTACTAGGTGAAAACCAGGAGCTTTTTAGGGAGGTTTTATGCCTTTAAGTACCTTCTTCTTCAGCATTATTCCAGCCCGATGTTCCCAGCAACGGGAGACCTGGCTTATCCCCAGAGACAAGCAATAGCACCTCAACCCCCAAGGGCCCAGGCTGGACTGGAAAAATGATCAATAAGCAGTGCTCTCCCTTCCCATTTTTTATCCAAATTCTGTCCATTCTCTTTCTATTGATCTCTTCTTTCCCCATGTCTATCCCCTAACAATGAACCCTGGATACCTAAATAGCTCAATCCTAACAGATTCTCAGGATAGGGAAGCCCAAAGTAGAGAAAAATGGAACCAGATCAAGAAAAAGCAATGAGAGAAACTAACTCCAAGGAGTGGACAGGTGTGAAAGTTGACAGAAGCCCCTGATTTCAAGCCATTTGGGCAGGCCTGCTGCTCAGCCCCTTTGTAAGCTCGAGGGCAGTCCAGCCCAAAGAGAACATCACTGGGCTTGGGGAACAGATTCTTGGGTCTTCTGCAGCCAAAAAGCTAAGCCTGACCTTCCCAGCTAACAGTGGGATCATTGTAGCCACATAGAGAATTCATCATCAGGCAGGCAGATCGGCAAGCAAGCTGAGTGAAAAGGAAAAAAAAAAAAAAGGAAGCCAGGCAAAGAGAGAAGAGGAAAAGCAAGGCAAAGAGTGGAACGAAGGAGCACGAGACTGATCTAAAAAGATGAGGCTGGGGTTATCCAGTGCTTCCTCAGAGCTTAAGTGAGCAGCACCACCTAAACCATATCCAAGAAAGCCAAAGCTTGTTGCCAATACCAATTCCCAATCTGCATGCACCACCTTTCAAACAAGAATAATCCTCAAGGTCAAGGGTTGTTTTTCAAGTCTCAAAGATTAAAAAAATAATAAAATCAGAGCAAGAAGTCATTTTCTTGCTATTGCCCAAGCTGTTTCTCTTGCTTTTATTTGTTGAATGGCATGTGCAATGCCAAAGGGCTAAAAAATACATTTCAAGCCCCAGCTCCAAACTCAACTGGAGAGAGTGAGGCAAAGAGAAAAAGAACACAAACTTGTTGCTGAGAGTAGGTGGCTACCACCAGCTCCCTATGGATAATTGCAAATGCTGGTGAATGACTGGACCCTTCAGGAATAATGCCCTGATCCTAGCCCCAAAATGCACCCAAGAAGAGAACATGCAGAGCCCACTGTCCCAAGAAGAGAACATGCAGAGCTCCCCTCCCCTAAGGGTGACTGAACATGAAGTAGACAGTATATGACGGCGATGGACAGGGCAGATGGAGTGTTGGCATCACTCTCTTTAGGCACTTGTGTAAGGAATGTAGGCTCTCCAGTGAGCTAACTCCTCCCACAGCCCTCCATTCTGTTCTTCAGCTGGGCTGTGCCCATGGGGCACCCAATGCTGTAGCCAGTAGGAAAGAAGTAAAGGAAGAGTTACTCAACAGTCCTGATGCCTTCCTCCATAGTCAATGTTTGTGCTATGTTTTGTGAAGTTACTGAACAAAGTAGCCAACCAGAACAGAACCTGGGAGTGACTGTTTTGCATAGCAAATCTGGGTCTGTACAAGGGCTGCTGGGGAGGGAAAGTGGTAGCTTTAACCGCTCAGGGCCAGATTCAGACCGGCTTTCCTCCGGCTGGCCTCCATGCCTGAACTAGGTCTAAAGTGTCATGGCTTTATCACCAGACTGGGGCAAACCCAAGCCCAGGCTACTCAAAAAGAGAAATTTCCATACTGAAGCTGCAAGTTCTCATCCCAAGCAGTGGGAAAGGAGAAAATGAACAGTCAAGGAAAGAGGGGGCCTTGCCTTTAGGCCAGCAGGCACCAAGCTAGAACCCCCTACACTTCCGGTTCTACAAGACAGCCAAACCCCATTTCTATCCAGGCAAACAGACAAACAAACAAATAAAAAAAAAAAGCCCATGCCACTCATTCACATGCCCTAGCGGGAAACCAGGAAAAATTCATTCGTGTAAACAGAAGCAATAGGGAGCAGCAAAATCCTCCAGCCTATTCACAGGACACGCTGGAATCTGGGTGAACCAAAGTGTCAGACAGTCCAGAGGAAGGGGAAGACGCACTTGCAGGAAAGAGTGCAGGGCAGTGCAGAGGGGGGAGCTGTAGCAAGAAAAAGGTATTTTCTGCACGGAGGAAAGATGGAGCCTGAGCCCCACATTGGGGAGATAACCGCCCCTTACCCAGCCAGGCCAAAGAACAAGTCAGGTACAGAGTTCCTTCTAATGGCTCAATGTTTCTGGGATGTAAACTCATTGGGCATTGGAGGGATATCCAGATTTTGGCAATAGACTCAAGTTATGGTATAAAAATAACATTTAGTTTTTGCTCTTTTTTCTTATTTTAGACCTAAGGATCGCTTGTTTTAAGACACCCCAGTTAAGAAATATTGAAACATACGAGACTTGACCATTGGGGGAAAAAAATAAGCCAAGAGTGAGAAAAGCTATGAAAGTAACTCCAGACCCAGGCAAGCGGGGAGGGTGGTGGGAGGACAGGGAGGAAAGGAGGTATAGCCAGTCATCTCAGCAGCTTCAGAGACTTGTCAGGTCTGAAAGTGCAAATGTCAATGGATTTTAACCATCTTGAGGTTGTAACCTTTTAAAAAGCTCAATGAATATGAAAGTCAATTCCTTTAAATGCAAAATAGCTGGCGGTCTGGCTGGAGGCTTGTTGGGTTAGGGGTATTTCTTACCCACCTACCTACCTCCTCTCCCACCCCCACCCCATCCCCCCAAAGAAAGGTACAAAAGGTTGCAGTTCTGCAGCATTACCGTTACAGGGAAGGCACTGGTTACCCACCAGCAGGCGGAAGGAAGACAGGGTCATGTCACTTCAGAGCTAAGTGCCATAGTGCCTTAAGTCATATTAGGGGCTGGATGTCTTATCAGGGAGGAGGTACAAGGTAGGGTAGGAAAAGGTAGAGAGAGAAGAATAAGGAAAAGGGGGGGGGGGTGGCGGCAGGGGGAGGAGCAACCAAAACCATTAGCATTAAAAAACCTTCCTACAAAGTGGATACTTAACCCATCAAAACATCTTGTATCCTAAAATATTGATCTGGGTCTGGTTTCGTTTTTCTTCTTAAACAAATCTAGACCTTTTCTGATTAAGGCTCCTAAAAAATCCTTCCCTCCTCCCACCCACTTTCTCAAGTACCTCACTTTCCCATCTAAAGTATCGAACCCAAACCTACCAGCTTTTGTCCGAAGGACTGCAGAGCCGACCTTACCAAGCTGCCAGGCATGAGTCTTTAGCACTGTGAGTCACATGAGACACCTGTGTGTGTGGTGGGCACCGGTGCTGCCCCTCTTGGTCCAGTGGTCAGGGCCAGATGTGACAAGATGGGGTGAGGGGTATGAGGTGAATATCAGAAATTTCTGGCTGGTGTTCTGGCTTACTGGCCCTGTTCCCCACCCTTTTGCCCCATCTGTAGAAGGAAACAAGGCCTTCTGCACTCCTCCCTACTCCACCTCCCTCCTCCCTGCTTCCTCTGGATTTGGGCAGCACAGCTCTTGGGGCTTGGAAAACTTTCTTCTATCCAGTGAGGTAACAGCTTTCTGCCTTCAAGCGAAGTACATGGTGCGCAGAGTATCCTGGTGAACCTGCACGGCTTTGGCCAGGGCCTGAGGGTCCCGCCCATTGCTCTGCCCCGATATGTGGCTCCCCTCTCCACTGAAAAGGAAAAATGAAAGAAGTCCTTCCTGGTGAACTGAGCTGCTGCTAATCCCTTCCCCCAACCCTAGGGTGACAATTGCCATACCAGCTTAAGGAAAAAAAAAAAAAATCCAACCCAGATTTGGCAGATGAACCCAGAGACACGGAACTGAACAATATGCATGTTCCTTCTACCCAAGGGAGGTTGGGAGGGTCTGGTACCAGAGGCTGACACATAAAGAAAGCCAACCTGATCCCATGCCTCACCTGTCATGTTCCTTGTCCACTAGGTGATATCGTGCCCGGAAAGCTACCAGGCGGGCATAGTAGGCAGGTGCTGGGATGGAGACGGAGCGTGTGCATCGTACGTAAGTGTGGCATAGCTGGTACGTCAAGATCTGGAGCTCATCCGCTGTGAAACGGTTGTCATCCCAAAGGACATAGTAATGGGATGGTCGGCTGGTGCCCTGGGAAGATAGGAAGGTGAGGGGCCCCAGATTGGGGAGAGGGGATGGCTGATAATAAGGAACAGGATCACTGTTTAAGATTATGGCTATGTTGGAAGACCCACCCATAAACAGGCAAACACAAAGTCACCTATGACATAAAGAACCCCTCTTATGGGCAATTTGCCTAAGATATTCAAAGTGTACTTCTGTTCAAGTACACTAAAAGGGCCAATTAAGAGAACAATCCTGATTTGAATGCCACTCAGCGATGACAAATACATTCTACAGGCAGTGCTAATAATCAACTAATTTTCAACCCACTGGAAACCCCAGGACATAGCCCAACTACCTGGATGCCTGCGTGGCTGCACAGGTAGAAGTCAAACTCAAACGGGTGGGTGATGTTGGTGTCCACAGTGGTCCCAGCTGGGATGTTACCACTCTTCCCAATCTGTACAGAGACAAAGACAACCAAGATCCCAAGACCTGCCTGGCCCTAACTAGGGCCCCAACTCAATTCTACTCTGACTCCACCAGAATCCCAGAGGATCACTGTTCCCAGAGGGTATTGGGTCTTGAAATAATGGGCTTCTAAAGTCACACAGAACAGTGTTTTAAGTGATAGTTTCACCATTTATTAGCTGTGTGATCTTAGCAAGTCACTTAACCTTTCTGAGGTTAAACTGGAGGTAATAATAGTACCTACCTCACAGGGCTGCTGTGAGGAAGACGCCTTGTACATTGTCTGGCACATAGGAGAAGTTCAATAAATGGTAGTTCCCTTTCCCTTCTCTGGGAGCTGGTCTATATATGGGGTCTATAGGCCAGGGAGCTAGGAGGAGGGAGAGGACGTATAAGGGAAGGAGGGGAGAAGGGGGGAACAAAGGGAAGGAAGTGGTAGAGGAAGGACCACAAGAAATAGAGGGAAAGGGCCAGAGAGGATGAACAGGCCAAGAACTAAATCCCCAGATTTTATCTCAAGGGCTCTTGGCCATATTAAGATAAGGGAGATAGGCCCGGGCTGGTGTGGCTCAGTGGACTGAGTACTGGCCTGTGAACCAAAGGGTTGCCAGTTCAATTCCCAATCTAGGGCACATGCCTGGGTTGTGGCCAGGTTGCCAGTAGGGGGCACACTAGCGGTAACCACACACTGATGTTTCCCTCTCTTTTCCCCTCCCTTCTCCTCTCTAAAAATAAATAAATAATTAAAAAAAAAAAAAGAGAAGGGAGACAGTATGGATGAGGGTATATAGGTGGCTTCCTCAATCCCTCACTCACTCGCTCATTCTTGTCAGCACAAAAAAGGCGGGTGTGATGGCGTTTCTGCACCACAATATAAGTGATTCCAGGCTGGTAGTCCTTTTCCAGTTTGATGCAGGCATCACGAATGGCCAGCAGCTCATAGTGGAGTATCTAGGCACAGGGTGAGGAGGGAGACAAAGGACATACAGGTCTTCTTGAGTTCACTCATCTTTCTGAACTGACGGCAACTCCTCAGTTCAGAAAGATGAATGAACTCAAGAAGAGTTCAGTCAAGACACATAATATGGCTTTTCCCTTGGTCTCCCTTTATAAGTGGACATACAACCATTAGAGCTGATGAGCCCTTTCTGCCAAAATCAGCCTTATATGCAGTTCACCTAAGATGTTCCTATAAAACCTTGGCTAGGAGTTTTAGCATCAGTAGAGAGCACTTACCTGGTTTTTATGAATGAGAAACCTAAATCAAGACACAGAACCAAGGTGCACAGAGAAATCCCAATGCCCAAAGTAAGGTCACTTTCAGTATCGGGAGGATAGTGGGAGTTCCCCTGGGACCTCCAAAAGCAGGCAATGTTGATACCACCAGAGAAGAGTAGACAGACACATAGTTCAGAAACAGGTACAGAGGGAGTAGATAAATTCTGTCCTATAAAGTAGCAGAATTATAAGAAAAATGGACTAGCTAAAGAAGCAGCTGCAGATTAAATAACCATAGGCAATAGTTGCCTTGTGGCCTTGGATATCAGTTATCAGGAGTCAAAACTGTCTGGTAGAAGAGGATAGAACTTACAATCAATTAGAACTAAGTTCAAACCCAAGTTTTATCTAATTATAGTCCTTTGAGCAAGTTACTTAACCCCTCTCAAGTCTCATTTTCTCCACAACTACTAAAGTTACTAATAGGACCAGTTGCACAAAGCTGTTGTGAAGACTAAAACAAACAAGTAAAGCACATAAAACCTAGCAGGGGCTTATATCAGCTGACTGCTTTGCTAGGCAGTTTGGATTTTAACCCAAGGCTATGTGAACTAGACATTTCTGAACAGAGAAGTGATATGATAAATGTATCTAGTATTCTAGGAAACACTGGATGCCTTGGAGGAAACTGAGCATAATGGTTAATAGCATGGACTTTGGAACCAGACCAATCTGTCTAAATAAATCCCAGTTCCACCACCTGTAGCTTGAATGACACTCAAGAAATCAGTTAACATTTCTAAGCCCCAGTTTTCTCATCTGTCAAATGGAATAATTATTATTTAATAGGGCTACTATAAGCACTAAATAGAACACATGTGAAGTGCTTAGCACAGTTTACGGCATGTAAAAGGTACGCAATAAATGGTAGTTATGGGAGTAAATGGCAGTCAAGGACACTAGTTCAGTTTATAAGTTTAAACAACAACATATGAAGGCTTGGCAGGCAGAAAGAACATTATTTAGAAAGATCAACACCAGTGGCATCCAAACAAGCAGCCTCACCAAGGAACTCATCAGAACTATAGATTCTAGTGCCCCATCCTAGACTCACTAAATCAGAAATTTTAAGGGTAAGCCCTGCAAAACATTTTAACAAGCTCTCTTGACGATTTTGACACACACTACAGTTTGAGGACCACTGATGTACAAAATCTGCGTTCAACATGAAACAACTACTAATAGGCAATTTCATCCATTAGAAGATGAAAGATCTACGGACACTTGTACATACCACCTCTCAGTTGTGATCTCTTCTCCTAAACCTCTTCCACCTAGCCAAGTTCCAAGTGCTAATAGCTTAGGAAAGGTAGCAGTACTCTCTGCTAGCATTAGGCCCTCTGGCCTCAATGTGAAGATTTTACCCACCTACTGCAGGCCTTACCTGAGGGAGCTGGCCTTCGGGAACCCCATCTCGGTAGAAGATGATACGGGTAGGCTTGAAGCGGGTGGACTTGTAGAACTGGATGAGCAGCTCACGCACCATGTAAGATAAGTCTTCAATGATCTCCTGCCGAGGTCTCTGCACCCGCACAGTAGCACAGTAACGGCTGGGGTGGGCATCCATGCTGCCTACCACCTGACAATCAAAGAAGCAGGATAAGCCCCCTAGAATCTCCACCCACCCAACACTATCAGGCTACGGGTTTGGGCAAAGGCTTTTCAGCAACAAAACTATGTCATCAAATGAGTAGGGTTTTGGATTCAATGAGTCCTCATTTCAATTTCTGTTCTATCACACATGTTGAAGTTACTTAATCCATCTGATCTTTCTCCTCCTTGCAAATAGGGATAAGAATAAGAATACCATCTGTGCAGTGCTATTATGGTACATACAAATAAAGCACCCTGCACAAGGTCTACCCCACAACAGGTACTCGATAAGTTTGATTTCCCTATCCCTTAGTCACAAGTTTGTCTTCTTTTCATTCAAGTGCTAATCTACCCAGGAACCATGGTGAAAAGTGTTCCTGCAGGTGGGGGGAGTAACATCATTTTCAAAAGGGACAGTGGCCAGAGCCTAGGATATTTGGCCACAAGAAAAATAGGGATATGCATAGAATAGGGTTTGCCTGCATCCCAGTCTGCCTAGAGAAACATGAGGGTGGAGGAAATAGAAGTGGGAAGGCAGGCCTAATCCCTCTAGGAATTCAGAAGGCCCTAGGGGACAGGGAGCAGAGAAGTTAGGAGAGGGATGAGAGATAACTAATTTACTAGGTGGGTCAGGAGTAGGAATGGGAAAGAGGAAAGGACAGTCTCAGCAACTAAGTAACTCCCTTTAAAGGAATTTCAGAAAAGAGATATGGTCACTATCATATCCCAAAAGTGGGCAGGGAGAGAAAGAGATAAGCTTGAACACAGAGCAGGAGTGGTAGAGAGTGGGCCAAGTTTCTGGCCACAGCCTACACTCCCATTGCTCTCACTGGGGGGGAAAAAAAAGAAGACATAGTACAGTTAATTTTATGAAGACACCAAGGGAGTGGTTAATGAGGATGGTCAGCTGGATGTAAAAGTTCTTATGAAGGGTCAAGTGCCAGAACTAAGGGAATGTGTAGTCTTGGAAGCTCAGAGCTGAGAGAACCATATGAGGAAGTTGGAGAGTGTAACTCACTGCTGTGATAGAAGGTTTTTTCCCATCCCCCGCTGGGGGGTGTGTAACATCTGCTCCCAGGAATATCACTGGCTGTTGAAAGACTGCAGAGCTGAACAAAGAAGAGAAAACAAATGGTGAGGAGGTGCATCCCCTCTTCCTGGCACCCACTCTGGTCCTCTCTCCCTTGTGCCTGACTCACTCTGCCGGGCCGGGGTCCTATCTTTCCATCAATCCCCAGAACGCTACCTTGCTTGAAAAGGGCAAGTGGGCAATGGAGTTCATACCGCTGGTGTGGGACTAGGATGTTGTTTATGCCACCAAGTTTGACATTGATCTTCAGGCAGAGGTTTGACAGAGTCTGAGGTGAGGTCTTGACCACGTTCTTCACTTGTACACACTGCGTAGCCATCCCCAAGAGTGTATCTCCAACACGTTTCACCTCAGCTACGAGCGGGGAGAGGAGTGGTTAGCGCATTCACAAACACTTCATGGATGCTTACGAGACCCAGGAAGTGTATGAGGTACTAGGGACCACAATGGTGACCAGAAACACTCAGGGCCCCTGCTCTTACAGTGTTTACGATCTAGTGACGAATTTAAAAAATCATGAAAAGTACAACAGAAAACTTCATGGCGCTATGAGAGCACACAATAAGGGGTAACACCCTAGCCAGGAAAGAACTATGGACTGACTAAGCTGAAATCTAAAGGTAAAAAAGGACCTAGAAGAGAGGGGGACTTTGGGAGAGAGCAATGCAGGCAGAGGGAACAGCACGCAAAAACACGCTCTGCTAGGAGGTGGCACTGTATGTCTGAGAAACTAAAGGTCAAAGTAACTACAAAGGAGAGCAAAGGGACTGACCTAGGGAAGAAATGAGGATAACTTGTATTAACTGAGGCGGTTGTTGAGATAGAAACAAATAGAATCAAGAGATATTTAAAAGACTCACACTACATATGTAAGGAAAAATAATTTTTATGGGTAACATCCGAGTTCCTTGCTTTTGCAGTAGAATAGATAGATCGTACACTCTTTCTGAGACATTTTGAGTTGAAAGTGCTTTTTGGTCATACCAGTGAGGACATCAACTAGGAGCCTGGGTATAGTAGCAGCTGAAGAGTAGTCAAATGGAGGTGAAAGTCTGTGAGAACCTTAGGTCCAGGTGAGTGAAGGCATGATCTTGATGGGATTGCTAAGGAAGAGAACAGAATCAAAAGAGAAGAGAGCTCAGACCCAAATCTTTGGGAACTCCCAGGGTTTGCAGAACAGGAAGAAGATGAGTCTGCAAAGGAGAAAAATCCAGAGAACTAAGAGGAATACCAAGACAGTTTTATCATGAATGCCAAGGGAAGAGAGTGTTTCAAGCAGAAGGAAGTGTTCAACAAAAATACTGCTAAGAAATCAGGTAAAACGAGGACCAGAAATGCCTTTTGGATTTAGAGTTATCAAGGCAAAAAATCAACATGGAGGCAACAACTATGTTGGTGAAATATTAAGAAGGAGATGTAGGATCAACAAAGGGTTAGGTATATTTTCAATGGGCAAGACTTTAGCATGTTTAAAAAGCTAAAGGGATCCTTTCCACTTCCAAGAGAGATGGAGTAGTTAGTGGTAAACCAGAACTTCTACAGAAAACATTCAGAAAAGTCAGATAAAGTACAGAAATCATCTTTTTGAAGGCAGCAGAGAGGTACCAATAAGAACTGGAGGGGCTAAAACTCCAGAAAGGGAATCTCACGGAGGTGAGCTATCTTCTGCAGCTGCTTATATCCTGGGTACATCTGTTGATTCTAGGTGTGGGCAGGGAGCTGAGAGTCCAGGCTTTGCACCAGTGAAGGAATCAATGACAGGAGACTGAGAAAACAACAGAGTTTCTGGCAGAGACAGATTAATTCTAAATATGAAAGGCTTAAAAATTTTTAAAAGAAAATAGACTAGTACCTTCATTACCTTGGAAGTTCTTAAATAGGACACAGACAGTATAGCCATAAAAGAAAAATATTGATAGACTGGACTACATTAAAATTTTACATTTCCGTTCAACAAAAGACACCTTTAAAAAGTAAAAAGGCAAGTCACATAACAGAGAGTATGTGTAATACAAATACATATTTAATAAAGAAATTATAAAGAATATTTATCAGCCATGGCTGGTGTGGCTCAGTGGACTGAGTGCCAGACTGCAAAGCAGGGGGTCACCAGTTCAATTCCCAGTCAGGGCACATGCCTGGGCTGTGGGCCAGGTCCCCTGGTGGGGGGTGCATGAGAGGTAACCACACACTGATGTTTCTCTCCCTCTTTCTCCCTTCCTTCCCCTTTCTCTAAAAATAAATAAAAAATAAATAAAATTAATGACAATTAAAAATTTTTCAAAAAATATTTATCAATGAGGAAAAGGTAGTTTAGTCAATAAAAAAAGGGAAAAGATTCAAGCAGGCACTTTATGAAACATACTAGTGAAATAGCCTATAGACATATAAAAAGATAATCAACCATACCAATCATCAGAGAAATAAAATTAAAACCACAATGCATTATCCACCAAACACCCACAAGATTACCTAAACAGCTAAAGTGAAAGAGATAGCCCTGACCAGTGTGGCTAAGTTGGCTGGGCATCCTCGTGCAACGCGAGAGGTCAGCGGTTCGACTCCCATTCACTGAGGCATTATTTATAAAGTAGAAACGGGAAACACCCCAAATACGTCCATTAGCAGTAGAATGGATAAATACATGTAAATTGCGATATATTCACACGTTGGAAAATTCTAACAAACTACAAGTACACAAACATGGATGAATCTCACAAACATAAGGTTGAATGAAAGAAACTAGATACAAATAAAGTACATAACATGTGATTCCATTCATATAAAGCTCAAAGGCAGGCAAAACTGATCTACGGTGTTGGAAGCCAGAAAAGCAGTGACTACCATTGATGGGGAGTTATAGTGACTGGGAGTTTGGGGTTGTGGTGATGTTCTGCTGCCAGACAGAACTGCGTGCTGTTTATACTGCTGTGGATTTTGTGAAAACTCACTGAACTGAATACATAATATTTCCATATGTATATTAGATGTCAATAGAAAGTTTACATTAAAGCCCTGGCTGGTAGCTTAAGGAGCATTGTCCAGTACACTGAAAGGTTGCAGGTTTGATCCCCAGTCAGGGCACACACAAGAGGCAACTGATTGATGTTTCTCTCTCTCCTCCCTCCCTCTCTATCTAAAATCAATAAAAACAACCCTGGCTGGTGAGGCTCGGTGGCTTGAGCACCGGCCTGGGAACAGAAAGATCACCAGTTCGATTCCCAGTCAGGGAATATGCCTGGGTTGTGGACCAGATCCCTAGTTAGGAGCATATGAAAGGCAACCAATATTGTATTTCTCTCCTTCCCTTCCTCACTTTAAAAATAAATAAGTAATAATCTTTTTTAAAAATAAAAAACACATACTTGGGTGAGGATTTAAAAAAGTAAATTTGAAAAGTTTACATTAAAAAAGTGACAACAGTATTAATTTAGTGAAGAGAAAGTTAAAAACACTGAGGAAAGGATGAGGTATGGCAGATCAAAACTGGGCAATGTCACACGGCCCTACCCTCTCAGGGCAACCACAACGTAACTGGACTCAGACAACCACAAAGAGAATTCTATTCACTTAGCCTCCTAGGAGAAAAGACAAGGGTCTTCAGAACAATGTGACTACTCCTCTTCTCTGCTGGTTTAATTCCTAGGCAGGTGGTCCCATTGTCTAAATCAAGGAACACCACGTAAGTGGAAGAAGTCCAAGGTCCTAATAAAGGTATTAGGACTGTAGAGAGGTATAACATTACTGACCCCAGGGAAGGAAAAATTCTCTGGGTAAGCATTGCCTTCCCGAAGCATCCTGCGCTATATACACCCCAGGCAAGCCAAAACATTAGATTCTCCCTTTAGTGGCGAGAACCAGAAACATGGATACTTACTCAAGGCAGTTCTTCTAAAAAGTGCCTTTATTTTCCATCCAAGGACCATCAATTTAAGGCCCAAGAGGGACATGGATCAGAGCTCAACCAAATTTCACCCATAAATAGTGAGCATTATGTCGGTGGAAGGCTCTACTTCAGGAATACACATTCAGAGGGTAGGTTTCAGTGCAGATTCAGATCTACTCCATGCTCAAAATAATATCAAGCATAATAGTAATGCATCAGCAACCTGAAATATTTCTAGAAGAATCCAGAGAGACCAGCTCATCCTCCAGGTAGAATGACAAAAGAAGGCTTCAAGGAATAAGTACATTTAAACTGTGACTCGCAGGATGAAGAGAATTTTAAGGGCAAGGTGGAGGATAAGAAGTAAAGTACTAAGATATTTTAGGCAAAGGCAAATGACGTGAGCAAAACCGGAGGCTGGAAAGCACAAACAGGGAATGAGCATTTAGAGTATCTACTCTGTGCCAGGCATCGTGTTAGATGCTACTTTTTATAGTAAATTCATGAGGCTCAGAAAGGTTAGGCACTTCACCTAAATCAGTACACTGGCATTACCAGGAGTAAAATCCAGTTCTAATTCCACAACATGTGGTCTTTCCTGTATGTGTGGCAATGGGAAAGTACAAGATAAAGCCAAAAAGGTTAAACTAAGACCAGGGCTCTGAAAACCTTTTATTTTGTGAATGGGGACTAAGGGTTTTTGGTCTACAAATGTCTCACCCAATAACAAAATCAAGAAAGACTTAAGAAGAAGTGTTAGAACTAAGTTGAGAAGTGTGGGTGAAAAGTAGGAAATCTATCTTAAAACTGTAAAAAAGAACACTGGAGCTGAGGCAAAGAGAAGACAGGCTGCTCCCAAAGTTTGGATGAAGTCACCCAGAAGCAACTGTGATGCCAGACACAGAAAAGTCAAGAAAAAGGCTTACTGGTAGACAGGAACAACAGGCAACTAAAGAGATGGTCCACCAAAACACTTCGAAAGGGCAGAAACTGCATCTGTTTTTGTCACCAGTGTATTCAGGCTCTAGCAGTGTTTCACACACAGTAGGTCATCAGTAAACTCTTGATAAAGTAAGGGAGAGAGGTCAAAGAGATAGATGGGAGCTGCAGAGAGATCAAGGGTTGGATCCAGATATTAACATTATATACATGACAACGTATGATAATAATAGGTGATGACTGAAGCAACTGAATGCATGAGGATTTCACTAGAATGTAAACAAAAAGAGAAGGAGAGTACAGAAATCTGGAGAATACCTGGCATTCCTGCTAATGAGAACAATAAGGAGAGACAGGAGAAAATATCAAGAAAAGAACTGAGAAAGGATACTGGTGACTCTGTGCAGAAGTTTCAGAGACGAAAGTAAAATAATGAAAAAGGCGAAGGATAAGTGGCCGATGAGAAAGTGGATGTACTCATTCAAAAAGTCTTGATTAAGACAAACAAGAAAATAGAAAGACAAAAGGTAAAGGAGAGGGCAGGTTACATAATGTGCTCTAAGATGGGAAATCTGAAGATGCTTCAGGGTTAAAGGGTAGAACTCCCAAAGGTGGCAGGATGGGATGGGAACAAAAGCACACACAGGTTGAGCAATATAAGAAGAGGGACACCTTTTCCAGAAGAGGTAGAAAAAGAAAATGGAGTGAAAGTACTGAGCCAAAAATGAACAGTCATTCCTATTCTTAAAAGGGAGAGGAGAAAAAGAGAAAAAACTTTCTGGAAAGTCCAAATCACTCCCAGGCAATAACAGAACCACCACACGTTTTCCTTGGGTGTGCTGCACTGGGACCTAATGGACAACGCTCTTCTAAGAACAAGAATGTGGACTAACCCATCCTTGTACCTGGCCCGGCTTAGCCTGCCACAAAGGCCAGCACACAGAGGACACTAGTGAATGTTACTGGAAGGGAGTGTGAGCATATAAACATACTCAATGGCTCATACAGGCCGACATTTCTCCTCTGACAGGGGCACTGACATTAAGGAACAGCTCAACTCTGGCTAGAGCCAAGAACCCACAATGAGTTCTGCCTTGGAGCCTCCAGGGAACTACCCTGAGAAGAGTCTTGTCACTGTCCCAAGGGAACTGTACCATACACTGGCGTCTTCCCTGGCAGGATGACGATAATGAGCTGCAGCCCTGAGTAGGTGTTCTTGAGATGCCGGAACATGGGCTCCACGCTGTCTGCCCCCTGCGCATATTTGCAGAAGCAAGGCTGGCCCTGGATGGGCATCCCTGCATCCTTGGAAATCTTCCGCAGCTGGTCTGTGAAGTTCCTGCAGCACAAGCATGGTGATAACAGGAGGCAGTTAGGTCCCACTTAAATACCTCGGATTGAATGCCTCCATCTTAGGTTCCCAGCACTGTGACAGGTACTGAGATGAATGAGACATGGTCGCAACTAGTGCCAAAAATATTCATAGTTGAGGAGGACAAGATAGAGCTCGCCAAATGTTCAAAGGCACATGCAGAGAGCTGAGGGGGACCTGAGGGAATTCTCAGGGTCCTCACCACCTCCCACTCAAAGCAGCTATTCCCGTGTTGTTACAAGAGCACAGCAATAGGCAGATGCCCTCTTTGCTCAAATTAAGTGATTGGAACATAGGAGATGTTTGGTAAAAATGAGCTCCCTCCTTCCCTACTATTTCTTTGAGGCTAAGAATAAGAAAGAGTAATTCAACAAGCCTCTTTCCTTTGGCTTTAGGGCCATACCCTGGGAAAGGAAGACAAAGTTGGAAGAGAGGATACACATGTAATAGATTAAAAAAACTAAGCTACATAAATATAATGACAGACTGAAATGAACAGTAGGAAATTTGTGAAAATCCTGCATTTAGAGTAAAAGCAATAATACCCTGGCCAGGTGGCTCAGATGGTTGGAGCGTCATCCCATATACCAAAAGGTGGCGGGTGCAACCCCTGGTGAGGGCACATACCTGGGTTGTGGGTTTGATCTCAAGTCAGGGCATATATGGGAGGCAACCAACTGACAACCAAAAGCACACACACTCTCTCTCTCTCTCTCTCTCTTTCTCTCTCTCTCGCAAATCAGTAAACATAACCTTAGGTGAGGATTTAAAAAAAGAAAGAAAAGACCCCTAGTGTGGCTCAGTGGACTGAGTGCCAGCCTGCAAACCAAGAGGTTGTCAATTCAATTCCCAGTCAGGGCACATGCCTGGGTTGTAGGCCAGGTCCCCATTTGGGGACATGAGAGAGGCAACCAATTAATATTTGTCTTGCACACTGATGTTTCTCCCCCCTTTTCTCCCTTCCTTCCCCTCTCTCAAAAAAAAAAAAAAAAAGCTATAATGTACAAATAGAGAAAAAAGCAAATTGTTTAGAGGATGCTATTATATAGTATATAAATATCAATATGATTGTAAACCCAATGTAGTGAGAACATACTTTTCACATATTTATTAAAAACCATAAGAAAGAAACTGCTATGTAAAATTTAGCATCATTTAGATACATATAGGTATAAATTGGAGGGGAAGGTTATAGTAATTCATAAGACTAGCTGCATCAGAAGGGAGAAATGGGACCAGGATGGGGGATATAAAGGAAATGTCAAATTTATAATATTGTATCTACCTAAAAAAAATAAGTAAATGATGTAACTCAGGATAATGGATACATGGGTGTTTGCCATATTATCCTAATTTTTCAAAATACATCTGAGAATAAGGAAATACAACCTAACCATTATTTCATGTAAATAAGAGTTATATCTCTGAGAAACTGTTAACAGTATTTTTTTTCCATTTCTCTTCCATTATATACAACTGCAGTGTAGCCACTAAGAAAACCAATGTGTTACTAGATTCCAATAGTGTGTCTCTACTTCAAGGAAACTGGTAGTCCCAATTTTCTATTACCAGATCATGTGGGACATTGTGTCCAGTGCTGGGGTCCACAAAGTCTTGAGCTAAGTTTAAAATGGGGAAGGTCCTGAAATCCTATGCTAAAAATTATATATATCTATACACATACATATATATGAAATATAGGGGCCTCTTTAACCAAAAAATAAAAATAAAAAATAAAAAATCTGAGGGCTGGCCCTACCACTGCCTCATCCACAAGATGAGGGAAAGACATGAGAATGAGAGAGAGGCACACAGAGAACAGCACCACCAACAAAGGGACACGAAGGCATAAATGCAGAGAGCTGGGAGCATTTCCAGTACTGCTAAGGACCAGCCCTCCAATGCTGGGCCAAGGCTAGAAGAAGCCTGGCTTAAATAGGGTTAAAATACCAAGAACCCAGGAAAGGGCACAAGAGGAACCCATTTAAAACAAACTACAGCAAAATACAGTAGTAGTTGGTTACCTGTGAGGAGAGGGGAGAAGGGGGGGCAGGGAAACCAGAGTCCCCATATTCATCAAGGCCAGCTGAAGCCACCAGGGCACACATCTCTATTATCCTTATAACTGTCCCAAGTGGTCAGCTCCACCATCTCTTCCTCAGCCTCATAGTAAACCGATCCCAACCCAGACCCAGAGAAGTAAGAAACTACCACTTCAACCGACTGCAGGAACTACCAAACTGTACATTGTAAAAGAGTGATTTTTTTTTTTGGTATTTAACATATATTTCAATGGAGCTGTCTTTAAAAAATAAAAAATGGAAAAAATAAAAAGACTGGCCCTGGCAGGTGTGGCTCAGTGGATTGAGTGCCAGCCTGCAAACCAAAGGGTCAGGGCACATGCCTGGGTTGCAGGCTGGGTCCCCAGTGGTGGGTGCACGAGAGGCAACCACACATTGATGTTTCTTTCCCTCTCTTTGTCCCTCCCTAAAAATAAAAAAAAATTAAATAAAAAAAAAAGACTACAGGGAAAGAGTCAGTGACTTCTTCCACCTAACTCATTCACTCACTCCAGACCATTACTCCCCTACCCTTTTTCTTTAAACCATTTGGCTGGATCACTTTCTTCATTGCTATCTATGCTAGCCCCTCAGCGACAGGTGGAGGTGGCTCAGAGGCCTTTACAACTCGTGTTCACCTGATTCAGGTTATTTGGACCTGGCTGAACAAATTTTATGCAAGGAGAGGACGGCTCAGAGGACCAGCTGAATAAGTTGCTCTGTTGTGTTTCTAGTTAGGAATGTAAGCTTTGAAGCCTCAGATCCGATTTCATCCCAACTCTGACACTTTCTTCATATGCAAACTTTGTACAAGTTACTTAACCTCTTTGAGCCTCAGTCTCCTGAAAATGGAAATACCACCACCTACTCACTGTGAAGATGGAATAAAAAAAATAAAATTAGGTATAATATTGGCATAAATGCTAGTTGTTACTATTATTTATTACCATGTTAATAATCATAACAATAAAAGAATTCAGGACTCCCTCAGCAGATTCATGCCCTGAAATCATCATCTCTGAAAAGAGAGGGCTCCTTATCAAGACTCCTGACCACAGACTGGTGGAAAGAAACAGCAGAAGTTTGAGTCAGATAGCACAAGGGGGCAGAGCCAAAAGTCAGCAAGAGCACACTACAGATCTAATGTTGGCTTCCCGGGAGTGGGGGAAAGTAGGCAACCTAGCAACCTAAGGTCCTTTTCCCACCCTTCCCTCCACACACCCAGCCCTCCTTACTTGAGTACTTCTTCTCGACACTGTTTTTGGGGTGCGAAGCAGGCGATGGCCCAGACTTTGATCTCAATCCCATTGTAGAACTGTTTCCCCCGCATGTCCCAGACACCCTGATTGGGTGTGGCAATGGCCCGGTTCTGGGGTAGGCAAAGGGGGCGCCCAGGTGAGCCTCATGGGTAAGGAGAAAAAGCCCCTGGTTATAATCCCCACCTCCCCCCAAAATGCCCCAGAGAGGTTGTCTGGCCCTGACCCTGCTCACCCGGCCGCCATACTGCAAGATGGGAGCCGGCAGCACTCGTCCCGTCACCTCCGTCATGTCATCCTTCACTTTGATCCCAAATTCCTGGATGTAGGGGTCTAGGTTATAGCTGGCATTCTTCATCTGCAAGACAATACAAGGGGATCTCAGGAGAGCGGCAGCTTGGCAATACTGCTCACCCTCTGGGTCCCAAGTAGAATGCCCTGGGTAGCTGAGAGTGGCGAGAAATAGCCCTAAAAAAGGAGGGAGACTAGAAAATAATGTAGTAAGAGTGGATAACATAGGGAAGTAATATAAAAGGGGAAAAAATAGGAAGCAAAGTAGCTAAAGGGTCAAGAAGCAAGAGTAGTCCTATGGAGTCCCAAGCAACAAATCTACACTTGTGTCCTCCTGAGAGTCCCATCCAAGCAGAAAAGCATCTATGCTCCCAGGGGCCCCAGTGACTGAGCAACCGAGTGCACGTTTCTCCCAAGCCCCACTGACCAGGCGGCTGATCTCCTCCTGTCTGTCTGGGGCTGATCTAGCTGTAGCCTTTATCATGGTCGAAGTCTGGTTGTCAGTCAGCTTCTTAATGCAGCGCTGCCCAGCCACAATGTTACAGACCTGAGGAAACAAGGACGATAAGTAGCTCTGGCTGGAGTTCAGTCCACCCTATACTCAGCCCCAGAGTAAGGGAAGAGACCTTGCCTGTCAGCCCTGGGAAGGAGACTGCAAAATCCCTTGGGCATACAGGTTAGCTAGAAAATACCCGTATGCAATACCAAAGACAATACAGACACTTTGTGATTGAGAGCTAGGGGTCCAGCACCAGGTCTGCGCTCAGGTCTCATATGTTAAATGGGGAGAACAGTAACAATCAAATAGGGTTGTTTAGAGACTAAATAAAATAGAGCACTTAAAGGACTGAGTACAATTCTGGAACCCAGAAAATAATAAATTGCAGTCTAACTTATTATTTACCAAAGGTCCCAGCAAAGAGCCCTTCTAAATACCAAAAGATTCAATATACATAAACTGGATTCCTAAAGCAGTGAGCAGCTCTCCAATGGTGGCAGGCAGTCTGCTGCTCCATCCTGAAACCCACCAAAAGAGTAAGGATGGCTATTAACTCTTGAGCCCCAGTCTATAGCTGATCACCACAGAAATCACTGTCTCAGTTGACCTGAGTGTCTTCTGCTGGTGTGAGAAATAGCCTGCCATTCAGTCCCTCTATTTTGGGCCCAAAAGAATACAGCAGAGATCAGAAGAGACTTCTGATATACAAGACTTTTATTCCCCAATATACTATATTCAGGATGCCATGGACAGAAAGCCTTTTCACAGGGCAGAGAAAGCCAGAAGGTGTAGAAGACTTGCATTCAAAGCCCAGCTTTGTCACATCTAGGTATGCTACCTTGGGCAGGTCTAGGTCACTTAACTGCTTCTTCATTTTAAGTCACAGGGAAAAAACACTGTCTCATGAAGTTGTTGTAAGGATTTAGAAGAAATGAAATATATAACTTGCTTCCACAGGACCAACACTATGACAGTACAGTTCTCACTCTAATCTGCAGCAGAGTTCATGAGGAACAGTGGTCAGGAAAACCAGGACAAGGTCACCTGCCATTCAACTCTGTATCCCAAGAAATACACAAGTCAGTAAATTCACTTAACAGAAATTCAGAATTAAAACTTGTGAGGTCACTCTCTTCAGGGCACCTTAAAGTTGTAGCACTCTCTAGAGATGTTTTCGGCTACAGAATCTGAGCCACACTAAGCAAAAGACTAAAGCAGGGATGTGGAGAAATTGGAACCCTTGCTGATGGGATATAAAACGGTCCAGCCACTATGGAAAACATTATGGTGACTCCTCAAAAAATGAAACACAAAATTACCATGTGATCCAGTAATTTTACTTCTCAGGATATACTCAAAAGAAATGAAAGCAGGGACTGAAACAATTATTTGTACACAGGATTCGTAACAGCATTATTCACAATAGCTAAAAGGAGGAAGCAACTCGAGCCATCTGTCAATGAAAGGATAAACAAAATGTGGTATATACATATGATGACTTATTTAGCCTTAAAAAGAAAGGAGATTCTGACATATGCTACAACATAAATGAACCTTGAGGACATTATGCTAAGTCAAACAGGCCGGTCAAAAAGGCCACATAGTATATAATTTGATTTATATGAAATGCCCAGAATAAACGAATCCTCAGAGATGGAAACAGAGTAGTGATTACTAGGGGCTGGAGGAAGGGGTGAGGTGAAGGAATAGTAAGTGACTTATAATGGGTATGGACTTTCTTCTGGGGGTGATGAAAACATTTTACTATCAGTTAGTGGTGATAGTTGCATAACTGTGAAAATACTAAAAAAACCACTGGTCTGAGCATTTAAAGAGAGTGAATTTTATGGTACATGCATTATATCTTGATAAAGCTATTTAAAAAAAAATCCTACCAGGCTATAATAGCCTGCATCATTTGACCCTTAACCTCTCCCCCAAAATCATCTACTACATTTCCTCTCATGCACTACATGCCAGCCAGCCACTAAGGCCTCTGTCTAATCCTCAAAAAGGTTCAAGCTTTGATCTGCTTTAGAGCTTCTGTACTTGCTATTTACCTCGTGCCTCAGGTTGTTACAAGGTTGATTCTATCTTGTAATTTGGGGTTCAGCTCAAATGCGTCCTAAAAGAGGCCTTCCTTGACCACAATAACTAAGGTGGCTCTCCAACCCTCTCCACCCTTACTTCTATCCCCTTAACCTGTTTTATTATTCTTATAGCACTTACCACCATCTGAAACTATCTTATTTATCAATTTATTGTCTATTTCCCCCTTCTAGAATGTAAGCTCCATGACAGCAGGGACCTTGTCTTGTTAATCTCTACATTCCCGGCACCTAAAAGAGTATATGACACATAGTAGGAGCTCAATAAATATTTGTCAAATAAACAATAGTAAAAATCAAAATATAAGTCATATATAAATTATTCACCTAGAGAGCTATCGTTTAAACGGAAGTAATGTTACTTTGCTGAGAAGTCTCAACTGATAGTAGATATTACCCAAAGCCTATCTACTTAGTTGAGATCACCCCTAAAGATTTCTGTTTACACCTCAGAGAAAATATTACCTTCATCCCACTTTCTGTGCATCAGCATCTATTAACTGAATCCAAGTTCTTGGGTTTGGGGATTTCTTCTCCCTTCAGCCCAATTTCCTCTAGTTCTGAAATCCCAAAAGCTCACAGAACATTTGATCTTTGGTCCTATTTGACTCCTGCTGCTGGAACAAAGACAGTAGTCCAGGCTAGTGCTTCTCTGAATTTCATGTTCCTACGAATCCTCTTTGGATTCTGCTAACAGACATTCTGATTCAGTAGGTCTGGTGGGACCTGAGAATCTGCACTGACCACACTTCGAACAGCAACAGACTAGACGATAAAGTGGGCAGCAGTTTCTCATTGGACATTTCGGCTAGTGTATGACTGACCAAATGGTTCTGCGTTTGCATGCTGTAACTTAAGAAGTATGACTATTCTTTCCTTAATTGCAGGACTTCAAACGCCTGTTGAAGCATAAACATATAAAAAATCTTGGGGCTAAAACTCTTTCATATTGACCAGCAGGAAAACAGGATTCATATTAAAGGTAAACGTTCACCTCCATTTTCTGTAAAACAAGGTATATTTGTATCTACAAGCTACTTAAGATCCCCAGCTTCAGAGGACAGAGAAAGAGAAATTAAGAGGACACAAATGTGGGTATCTGAAATCTCTGTCCTGAACAAACTAATTACTTATTAAACAGTAAATACAGCCTTCACCTCTGCCTGGCAGCCCTGAAAAAACATGAGAGCAGGACTGGAACAAGAAGAAAATTTAGCAGGTAAGAATGAGGCCTACATTTCAGAGAATGATCTTATATACCTCTCAGAATGTTAATTTTCCGAATTTCAAAATGAAGAGGAGAGATTACAAATGGAAGAACAGACCTCGGATGATCAGTGTGCAGATACAATGCTTGTTCCCCAGCCCAACCATTACTTGGCAGCCTTACCTCTAAGGGCAGGTAGGTATGCTTTTGTTCCTGGCCAACTTGCAGGCAGGGCAGGTGGGGATACTTGAGCTGAAGGTTATATTTCTGCTTGAAATACTGTGCCACTGTGCACTCCACAGTCTGTCCACTCTCCAACTGCAAGGGAAACCTGTTTTGGGGAAAGGAAGGAGGTATCATAGCCCAGGATTGAATCCCAACCCTCTGGACCTACAACCACGGGAAGCCCCAGACTTGGCTTTATCCCTGACCCAGCCTCTTTAGAGTTCTGACACTCTTGGGAAAGCAGGCAACACAGGGCTCCAAAAGAGAAGCAAGCTCCACAACCGTCAGGACCACACCTGACTCGCCTGTATTTCTAGTGTGGAACATAAAGCCTGACACACAGTAGGCACTCATAACCCCTTATAGTCTGAGGTCAAGAAGGTAGATGAAATCAGTGAGAGCTTCCCCAAGGTCTAACCCAGAAGCTTTCCTTCTCAGGAGGCAAAATAAGTTGAAAGAGATTCTAACATTTACAGAACTCATAAAGGAGTCAAGGGAAGATGCCTGATCTCTGGCAAAGGCCCACAGAGGAAAGGCGGAGACCAAGAAGGTAAAAATGGTAGGTTAGGTATTAATGGACCATAAGGCTGGGAGAGGGATGCCAAATTCCCTCAGCTTATTCAAAAACAGGGCCAGTCCAAGGCTCATTCTCAGGGCCAGTGGGGCAGGAGGGACTGAAGGGAGTGTGTTGAAGCACCAACACTCTTCCACCAATAGAATGGCTTGGCAGCCCTGTCAACTTACGTCTGATGGCTGGCAGGGCGGCGGGTAACATTACACACGCGGTATTTCCTCTTCATCTGTCCACAGTGGGTCACTTCCACCTTCAGGCCTAGAACACACACACTGCTTGTCAGGGCTGAAATAGGTTGCTCATGTTCCCAGGCTTGGCCTCTCTCCTGAACATGTCCCAAGGGAATTTCCTTTTAGGGCTAAAGAGAAAGTAAGGCTGTTTCCCTGCCCTGCCTGGTTGGGTCCTTACCCTTGATCTCCTTGGTAAAGCGCACACGCTGAGAGTCTGTGAGCGGCTTGGGCTGCTCATCTATGTTCCTGATGTCCAGCACCTCACACATGAACTCGATCACTGGCTGCGCCTTGTAGAAGGCAGTGGCTGAGACTGTGGGGACAGAGTGGGTCTAGCTCAGCTGAGGTTCTCTCTTCCAGAATAAATGGAGATACTGCTCTTTATTTTACACCCTCTTCCTTATAGGGTATTGGGATGGGGGAGGGGTCCCAGGGTTGTAGGAATTAGACCAGGAGTGTGGTTGCAGAGCTGGGAGGGATAAGGCTGGGAGTGTGGTCACTGGACTCAGGGTGCCCCTGGCTCCATAGCTCTCCCCACTCACCATCAATGTTGAGCATCATCTTCCACATGGCAGGGCGCACAGACTGGTGAAAGCCGAACCAGACCTCGCGCCCACCCCCCAGCGGGTGGTAGTAGCCCTCAGGCGGTGAGAAGAAGGAGCGGCCCACAGGGGTGTACCTGGCAGGGACAGGCAGAGAACTGGTCCCTCGGGCACAGGCCCCCACCCTGTGAGGCATCCTGGGCACGGAGGAGCCCTGGCCTGGAAGGCAGGACACCAGGGCTTTAATTCCAGCTCTGATCATTTACTAGTTGTGTAACTGACCTTGTGAAAGTCTCTACCCTTTCTCTGCCCTGAAGGGACAGATGGGGCACAGCCCAAAGGTATCTAAAAGGGACAGGGCCAATGGTTCAAACCATCTAAATGCGTATACATGCTTGCCCGGCATATGGCAGGGCTTCAAAGAATATTCTGTTTTAAAGGGGCACTGTAGAACCTTAATATGCAATCATTCCCCTCCTCCCCCCATAGCAGTTCTGACACCAGCAGTAGCCCAGATATTAACTATACCCAGTACCTCATGGAGGCCAGGTGCCGCATGGCCACATCCAGGGCTTGCACAGACTCCAGCGGAACAGGGATCTGGCCACTGACCAGGGCCTCATGCAGCATGCGCCAGCTCACAATGGCCAGCCACTTGATGGAGACCTTGAATATTCGATCTTTCCCTTCCCCAGGGATTGTCACCTCAAAGTCAACCTTCAGTAGAGAGAAAGGGGTGAAAGATTGCCAGTACTTTCCCACAGGCCAACATTCTCTGTCCTGTCTCAACTGTCCCCCTCCCCATGGATTTGCTAAGACTCTGCCCCTTAAGGGGCTCACAAGGAAGACTTCAGTGTAAATGCAGTCCCTTAGTCTCCAGCCACGTTGGCTCAGTGCTTCTGTCTCTCTTACCCACACCCAGCAGAAAGTCCTTAAGGTCTAGGTCTCTTCTGAGTCTACTCTCAATCTGTCTACAACAGGGATAGACATACAATAGGCCAAATAAACACCAGCACCTACCCTAAAACACACTTTCTCAGCACAAAAGATGAAAGGGATCTCTGGACTGCCAGACTCCAAAGAGGCTTATAGGAGCTCTGTCCCTCCCCAGGCCCCCTGAAACAGGCCTGACTCCCACCTTACCCGTTCATTGCCAATGGGCAGTGCTGTGACAGTGTAAATGTTCTTCTTTCCATCATACACGGGCTTGCGGTCACCGAAGATTTGAGGCTTGAAATGCTGGACCATGTACTCCACCACTTCCCTGTGTGGGATAGGAACAGCCTGTAGAAGCTGACAGACTACCACTTCAAGCCTCTGGAAGTAACTCAAAGTCCAGGCAATGTCTTATCTACTACATTCTCTCCTGGCAGCTACTTTTAATCTCATCTACTCTATCTCTGTGCTTCTCAAACTTCAATGTCCGTATGAAGTCTGAATCACCTGGAGATCTTATTAAAATGCAGATTCTGACTCAGCAGATCTAGAGCAAAACCTGAAATTCTGCATTTCTAACATGTTCCCAGGTGATGCTTCTGGTCTTCACATTACTAATGCTTTAGAGGACCTGAAAGAGCAAGTGCCTTCAGAGCAGAGAGGGAGGCTGAGGGGAGAAGGGCTTCCTCTGAGGGCCTATCCAGAATCGGAAACAGGTCTGAGGCTCCTCCAATTCCCAAGCTGCTAAGCAAAGAAATGTAAGTGGGAAAGAGATCTAAATTAGAATAGGAATAAACTATGGAAGAACCTCATCGCTCTCATTTCTCTGAAGCCCTTAGTTCCCACCAGCCTGTTTCCTCTCCACTGTCATCTCTTTCTAGACTTCACTTCCTGTCCCCTGCCACTTAGATACCAGCGTATCCATCTACCCTTCAAAATCCCAGCCAATCCAACTATCTGACATCTTCGCTTTCTAAACCAAAGCTTTTAACAACTACTGGATAAAAGAAGACTCAAAATGTGTACTGGAAGCAACTGTAAACACATGGTTTCAATCCCAGTTAGGCTTCAGTGCTACCCAACAATCTTTTTCATGTTCCTGATCACTTCCATCCCTCACAGACTATGTCAAAACTTCTCTACCACCTTTTAAATCCAGAATCCATTTCTATTTCCTATCAAAAAGCAACCCTACCTGGCTGGTGTGGCTCAGTGGATTGAGTGCCAGCCTGAGAACCAAAGGGTGGCAGGTTCGATTAAGAGTCATGGCACATGCATGACTGCAGGCCAGATCCCCAGTAGGGGGCGCTCAAGAAGCAACCATACATTAATATTTCTCTTCCTCTCTTTCCCCCTCCCTTCCCCTCTCTAAAAATATGTAAAATCTTTTAAAAAAAGAAAGCAACTCTACAACTCTAAACAGAGTAAACCATAGCAAGCCTCTTCTTTTTCTTTCCACTCACTTGAAATGTCCTTCCATATGATTTTTTAAAATTTAATCTTTACTGTATTTTTTCCATTACCATTTAATCCCTTTATACCGTCCTCCGCCCATATGTGATTTTCAAATATCTGAAAAATACGTCCAATTCCACTCATTAGAGGAACATAATTTTTAATTAGACTAAAATACAGGAAAACAGACACACAGACCAACGGAACAGAACAGAGTGCCCAGAAACCCACACATATATGAACAACTAATTTACAACAAAGGAGCCAAGAATACACAATGGAGAAAATCTCCTCAATAAATAGTAATGAGAAAATTGGACAGCCATATGGCAAAAGAATGAAACTAGACAACTATTTAAAATATACACCAAAATCCACTCAAAATGGATTAAAGACTTGAATGTAAGACCTGAAACAATAAAAGCTTCTAAACGTTGATCTTAGTGGTATTTTTGTGAATTTGACTCCAAATGCAAGACAAACAAAAACAAAAACAAACAAATGGGACTACATCAAACTATAAAGCTTCTTTGCAGCAAAGGAAATCATCAACAAAACAAAAAGGCAACCAACTGAATGGAAGTAAACATTTGCAAATGATGTTTCTAATAAGAGGTAAATATCCAAAATATATAAAGAACACATACAACTCAATAACAAAAAAAAAACAAACAGGGGGAGGGGAGTATAAGGGGGATAAATGGTAATGGAAAAAAATACAATAAAAAAATAAATTAGCCCTGGCTGGTGTAGCTCAGTGGATTGAGTGCCAGCCTGCAAACCAAAAGGTTGCTGGTTCAATTCCCAGTCAGAACACATGCCTGGGTTGTGGGCCAGGTCCCCACTGGGGGCGTGTGAGAGGCAGTCAATTGTTTCTCTCATACACAGATGTTCCTCTCCCTCTTTCTGAAAATAAATAAAATCTTAAAAATAATTAATTTTTAAAAATGAATAAAAAAGTGGACAGAGGATCTGAACATGTATTTTTCAAACACAGATAGGTGGCCAAAAGGCACATGAAAAATGTTCGATATCACTACTTATTAGGGGACTGCAAATCAAAACCATGAGCTATTATCAAAAAGAGAAAATAACAAGTGTTGGCAATAGCTATTATCAAAATAGCTATTATCAAAATAATCAATAGCTATTATCAAAGAGAAAATAACAAGTGTTGGCAAGGTGTAGAGAAAAGGGAACCTTTATATGCTGTTGGTGGAGTTGTCAATTGGTGCAGCCACTATAGAAAACAGTATGTAGGATCCTAAAAACAAAAACAAAAACAAAAACAAAACAAAGAACTACCATATGATTTAGCAATTCCTCTTCTGGGTATTTATCCAAAGAATATGAAAACATTAATTCAAAAAGATATATGTACCCTAATGTTCACTGCAACATTATTTGTAAGAGTCAAGATTTCAAAACAACCACTAGTGTCTACCAACCAATGAATGGATAGAGAAGATGTGAGAGGTATTATCAATGGAACACCACTCAGCCATAAAAATGAGGAAATACTGCCATTGGTGACAACAGGGAGGGATCTTGATAGTATTATGCTAAGTGAAGTCAGAAGAAAAAGGACAAAAATTTTATGATTTCTTTCATACATGGAATATAAACCAAAAAGTAACAAACAAACAAATAAAACAAACAAAAACAAACTCCTAGATAACAGACAACATATTGGTGGTTACCAGAGAGAAGAGGGGTCAGGGGAGGGCAAACAGATAAAGGGGGTTAAATACATGGTGATGGATGGAAACTAGGCTTTTGGTGGTAAACACACAAAAGAATATACAGATATCAAATTACAATGTTGTATACCAGAAATTTACATTATTATTAACCAATGTTACCTCACTTAAAAAGGAAAAAGCCAAACCATGTGTCAATTTATGAGATGATAAATATTTTTCAACTGAATTAAAATTCTATAGTATAAGATAGGAGAATTAAAAAATTAAATTCAAACAAATTTTCTACTTATCAAAATGTCAAAGATCAAAAAATACAATACACTGGATTGCTGCAGATATAGAGAAGAAGTGTTCTTAATAACTTGCTAATGGGAGTATAAATTGGTACAACTTACCTAATAAAAACTAGCAATTATCTCAAAATTTTTAAATGCACTGTAATAGCAATCCACTCCCAGGAATTTACCCTACAGATACACTCATACTTGAGTTAAAAAATGTATCTATATTTAATAGTATTCAATAGTTACATTTTTGTAACAAGTTTAGACTCCCTCTAAATGTTCCTCAACAGAGTTATTAAATAAGTTATAACAACATCACATTCAATGGAATACCTATGGAGTTATGAAAAAGAATAAGGCAGATATGTATGCACTGATATATATTATTTTCCAAAATATATTGTTCAGTAGGAAAAAAACAAGGTACAGAATAAGGTACACAGGATTCTATATTCTATACAATTAAAAAATGTTCTACATACATATATTCTTGCATATGCAAAGAAAAATATCTGGAAGCATACTCAAGACTGGTAACATTATACTCAAAAATGGTAACAACAGATGCCTCTAGGGAAAGGGACTAGGGCACTAGACACCAGGGTAACAGAAGACATTTTTCACTGCTACTCTTTTTGTAATATTTAAAATTCTTTCTTTTTTTAAAATTTTATTTATTTATATAGGGGGGGAAGGGAGGGAGAAAGAGAGGGCGAGAAACATCAATGTGTGGTTACTTCTCACGCGCCCCCTACTGGGGACCTGGCCTGCAACCCAGGCGTGTGCCCTGACTGGGAATGGAACTGGTAACACTTTGATTCACAGGATGGCACTCAATCCACTAAGTCACATCAGCCAGGGTTGTTTAAAATTTCTTTACATTGTACACATATAATTTTCAAATAGTAATAAAATTAAATTAAAAAATTTTAAATTGGCTAATCCTTCCAAATGTGTGTCCTATAAAGTCCTCTTGCCTCAGCGAGGACATCCCACTCATTCCGCCCCTCTGTGTCATGTACCTTTAAGCTCTTCTCCACTAGCTCCTTCTCCTCAGTTTATAAATATACCCATGTCTTATTCTTAAATACTTTCTAATCATTTCAACAAATATTAAAATGTGCTAGGCTAGGCACTATACTTGACCACTATAATCCTCCTGGCCCATGTATTTCCTCTCCCCACGTGGCACTGCCAAGCTATCTGGGAAAAGCTATCTAGTCCCACTATCCTTACCACATTACCTTCCACTTATTCCTTAACTCACTGTAGTTAGAGTACAAGGCCAAGAGTCTAATAAAACCACTCTAACAAAAGATACCTAATAGTCAAATCCAATGAAATTTTTCAGCATTTTCCGTACTCAGAATCTCCTCCTGAAAAACTATCTTAAATTTAGTGATATCACCCTCTAGTGTATAAGAGTGTTGTGCGTGTGTGTGTGTGTGTGTGTGTGTGTGTGTGTATTTTTTCCTTTTTACCTCTCTGGATCCTCTTTCAAGGTTCTGAGACTCAGAAAAGTAAAGACTCCTGTATTTGGTGTCTTAGGTGTGCATCATTTACCTGTTGACTCTGCGAGGACACTTATCCGGCTTGATATCCACCTCGTAGTGGTAGACGTCAATCTTAGGGATGTCCACCTCAAAGTAATTGGCCAAAAGCTTGATTGGTTTCCCCACTGTGCCAATGCCAGGCCTTCGAGGTGCTTGGAACACCTGCTGCAGAGGGGGCAGGTATGCGCCCGCAGCTACAAGACAAAGAGGCTGATGAGGGTAAAGTCTGGCAATCTCCTTACACACTTATCAGAGAAGGCACAAGGCTCCCAAGAAGAGGAGCAGGTGACTACAAGGGGAGCTTCTCTCCTGCCCGCGTGTAAGCCAACTGAGGGCTTCCGCTGGCTCAGACAGCCCAATTTCATTTTTTTAAAAGCTCTCTCCAGTTAGGAAAATTACCCTTGTCTATCCTAAATTCATCAAGTGAATATGTAATAAGTTCCTATTACATGTTAAGTAGAGGGGCTAAATCTGGCACCCAGTAACAACACCCTTCCTTCTGCCAGATTAACACACATGCCTCCACCAGGTATCTGACAGACCAAGAATGCCCTATTCTCTGCCAGCCAGATGCTCACTTCATTAGCATCACCTTAATGCTCCTCTGTAGGCAGGAAGAAAATCCAAAGAGGGCCAGATTGGGGGTATGGGCCAGTGTTTGAGAAAAGATTAAAGGCAACTGAATGGCTGAGGCTGGAGACAGAAAGGGGGAAAAGGCTAAAAGGAGAGAGCTCGGAAACTAAGAAAAGGAGAGAGGCTGAAATGGGGAGCAGATGAAGAAACCAGACTGGCGGTCTTAACAAACAACAACAACAAAAAGGCTTGAACTGGGAGCCAGGGAAAGACAGAAGGCTGCAGTCAGGGGCTGAGGCAAGACAGGTGAGAGTTGGGAGTCTGGTCAAGAGGCAAGGCTGCAACTGGGGAAACTCACAAGAAGAAAAAGCTAAGGAATGAAGACAGGCTGAATATAGGAGCCTGAGGCAAGAGGAGCCTAGAGTAGAGGACTTGGGAAGAAGAGGCAGCCTTTAGAATGCTGGAGAGATACTGGCTCTGGGGAGGAGGACACAGGACTGTCTCCGAGGCCCACAGCTCCTTCCACACACAGCTCAGACAGCAGCAGAAGGGAATCAATTGCAAGACAGATAGGGGCCTAGGGACAGGGCTAGGGCAAGGCCAGCTCCCACTACTTTCTCCCCTCTGGTCACCAGCCTGATCGCTGCCCCTAGTTTTATTTTCTAGCTGAGGGGAAGAGGAGGGAAGAGAGAAACAACCTAAGAGAAGCCTTTGTCCAGAGCTACTATTGTCCTTGACAGTAGAGGACCAGCTCAGGTGGGAGGCAAGATGAATAAGCCAGCCCAGAACCTCCCATCACCCCAGCTCGGTTTTCATAGTGGGCCAGACTGGGGGGGGGGGTGGGCGGGGATGGGGCACATCCTCAGCTGGGGGGTCAGGAAGAGGTCAGAACCATTCACAGAGAGAGGCATGCTCCCCAGAGCTAAGCTGCCCTCTCCTAACCACCTGTCAAATCCAGCTCCACGAAGCAGACTGGGGAAGGCAGGACCAGCCTGAGGGGAAAGGCCTTCAAGACTCAGCCACATGGGGAAATGAAAGCTTAGCTATGAGCACCTGGCCACCTACACCAAAAAGAGGTAGACAGAAATTGCACACAAGGCACAGACATACACAAAAAACGTGACACATACCTGTCACATGCATTCAAACACTCATTTTGATCTAGGCAAAACCTTTATGCAAATACCCCTTACTGCCCTAGATGGTAAGTTCTTCAAAGGGAGGACTATCTGCTTTGGTCACTGCTGCCTCTCCTGGGTGAATGTCTGGCACACAGGAAATGTTCGATAGACACTAAATGAACAAACAGACCCACAGACACACCACAAAGAACAGACACAGTACATAAACACAAAAACACCTGCAAACTGCTCAGAAACAATTACAAACTCTGCACAGAACAAACAAGCACCCTGGTAGATGTAGTTGGTAAAAGACACCCTTTCCCTCCCCAAATTCTTACATTCCATTAACCTCCTTAGCCTCCCCAGACTGAATAATCAGCTGGAGCCTAGGAGAATGGAGTCCCTAGAGCTGGGGGCAGGGTAGAACTGACAGGGGATGGGACAGCCACTGGAGCCTCAAAGCCTTCTCGTCCCCCAAAGAGGACTATAGGCCAGACCGTCTTAGGCACCAGGCACCCTTCACTCCAAGGAGGCTTTAGGAAAACAGGAAAGGTCCAGAGCTCTCCCTCATCCCCAAACTAGGAAAGGCAAGAGGAAGGAGTAAGTTCTGACCCACCCCATCCCCCTGCAAGCCTCACAGCTGTAGCCAAGCCCCCCCTTACCTCACCCTGCCCCCATCTTTTAGTCTGAGAAAGGGAGACACTTCCCCTCAAACCCAGACAGGGACAGACGGCCACTTTGTGATGCAGATGAGGGCCCCAGCAGAGAGGACAAAGCTTGGGCCTTGGGGGAAAGGGGCGGGGCCCTTCCGTGCAGACAAAAGCAAGGAAGGAGGGGCTGTGAAAAGGACACTCCCCCTCCCCCATCCCCAACCAGCCCTGAGAAGGAAAAGTAAGAGAGCTGAAAGGCCTGCCTCAGGGATTCCTTCCCTGCAGTTCAGAGACACATAACCTCCCGAGGAACCAGACAGCTTGAACAAAAGACAAACACAAGGCTAAGAAGCCAATTCTCCAAGAAGAATCCGTCTACATATAAGCATATACAAAATATTAAATATCCGATTATGTTACTAACAATTTATGTCACCCTGAAATGTGATTCAATTTAATTAACAAACATGCACTTTGTGTCAGGGCCTAAACACGGGCTAGTTCCACAGGTAAATCAGACACTACCTGGACCCCCAGGGGGCTGCCAGGCCAGTACATGTGCTTGGAACACACCTGAGCACAGAAGGCACACTTGGACATAGGCCCAGTGAAGCTAGCAACAACACCCCAGTTTTGTGTATTCTGTCCTCCAACTTCCAAGAGAAGAGTCTGGGCCTAGCAAGGAGACAGTTATGGGGTACCTTCATCCACAGCTTCCAGAATGAATTTCAATTACACCGTTTGGTGAGTCAAAGCCTGTCCCACTAGGCTACAGTTAACTCCAGATACCAGGCTCTAGTCCCTTCCCTAGAAACTTATTTCTTACAACAAACAAGTCAGTTTTTTAAAACACTTTTCAAATTTATTTATTTATTTATTTTTGAAGAGAGGGGAAAGGAGGGAGAAGGAGCGGGAGAGAAATATTGATGTGAGAGAGAACCATTGATCAGTTGCCTCTTGCACACCCCCAACCGGGAACCTGGCCCACAACCCGGGCACGTACCCTGACTGGGAGTGGGACCAGCAACCTTTCAATTTGCAGCATGATGTCCAACCCACTGAGCCACACCAGTCAGGCTCAGTTTTGTTTTTTTTTTAATTGCTCCAGCCAATTCTCCAAGAAATAATTAGCAGTCTGGTATGGATGTCAGGTCCTGGCAATCTATTGGAACCTCTGTGCCCTGCTCCTCCTGTAGTCAACAGGTTGTTGCAAACAGGCTCCAGCCTAGACAACAGAGAGAGTTCCTGGAATGGCAAGACAGGCCTAAGAGAAGTAGTACTCTGAAGTCAGCTGCTCCCTGCTCTCTATCTTAAGACCTATAAAGGCTTTACAAGCTTGTTTTTGCTTAGGGGTGGGGAGTAGGGGGTGGGGGGAGTACTTCTAGATCATTGAATGGATAACTTGAATGAGTTGGTAGGAGCTACTTCCTTGAGATTAGGTCTGGTAAAAAAGACAAAGATTCTTCCACTAGAAATGAAATTCATGTCCCAAGTGGAAATCCTACTCCCACTCCCAGACCAAATGGAAGGAGGTGGTGTGAGATACGACCTAAAGGATTCCCAGGTCCAGCCCTGACCAGTATGGCTCAGTTGGTTGGGTATTGTCCTACAAAGCGAATGGTCACCTTTTAGATTCCCTAGTCAAGAATATGCTTGGGTTGTGGGCAACCTGGGTTCAGTCCCTGGTCAGCCACGTATGAGAGGCAACTGATCCATGTTTCTCTCCCTTTATCTCTCCCCTCTCTCTAGGTAAATAACACCTTTAAAAAGATACATTAAAAAAAAAAAAAGGATTCCCAGGTCCAGGCTGCTCTGCCCATCAAAGTACCTAGGACACAGGAGGTGTCACCACCCCACCGCCCATCCTGGGGACTCCAGTCTTGCGGAAGCCAAGCCTCAGTTCCTCCCCTGGTATTATCTCCTTTATTCCTGATTGCCCATGAGCAAGGAGGCTCAGCAGGGTAAACGATATAAACCCCTTCCTCCCCCAAACAACTTATTTGTGACAAAAGGCTAACTTGGCAACCTTAGGTCTACATGGCCCTGGCAGTTTCTGGGGATCAGAGAGAGGAAAAAGATAAGATGCCCAGTGGGAGAGTGGAGCTATAAAAATATTAAGGTATAGAAAGAGATTAAGCTGTCACCTTGGGAGCCATTTCAATGCAAAGGTCATTATCCCTTGATTAAAAGATCCCATCTCTACACAGTATTGGACTAGAAGCATGCAAACCAGGCAGACAACCTCTTCCAGGTAAACCTGGTTCTGGCCTTGGTCCATCAGTAACCAACACCTTTTCTAAGGCCTATCTTTAAGGAGGATCCTCCCCAAGAACATTGCGTCCGTCCCAGTCTTTCCTCATCCCAGAGGCAGAATAAGGCACTTGGCAAATTGTGATTGAGGATTTTCAGGGCCAGTGTAAGAAGCCCTAAGGTGAGAAAGGCGACCATTTCCATTTGCGCTCTGCCAGCATAATCTTAGAGAGACTGTACCCCACCAGCGCGCCCCTTTTTCCAAGCCAAACCACGCGGGATGGAGAGTGGGGGGAATTCGAGCAGCCACGCCCCCACCACATAGGGCAGCCCCTTCCAACGGCCACCTCCGCGCATGCTCGGGCGCCTCAGCTCCAGCTCCCTGGACTCAAGGGGGGAAATCCTGGGGCTGGATCCCCACCCACCGCCCCCTGACCCTCGCCCCAGCGTCAGGCCCAGCTGGGCGGAGCTCCCAGTCCAGCCCTGGCGCCTTCCCCCAAGAGACATTAGCCCAGCCCAGAGCCGCGGAGCCCCCCGCCCCTGGCATGCAGCAGCAAGGGCCCATCTGCGTGGACCCCCTCCTCTCCAGGACACCTGGAGCCCGCCCCCTGCCACCTGCCGGGACTCTCCCTAGGCCTCCCGGGACCTCCGGGAGTTCTTAGGTGTGTGGAGGCCCATATCCCAGATTACTTCCCACCTCCAGGATTGTATAGAGCCTCCTTTGATAAAAGGCCCCCATCTCAGAGCTCCATTCACAAGGTTTCCCCACGGAACTGCACATAGCCCCTTTTAAACTGGGCCCCCCCATCCCATAAGAGCTTCTCTCCTCACTGAACAAACCTCCCCTCACTCAGAAATCCTGCTCTTCACGCGGGAGTTCTCTGGTCCTCTGGAACGCGCACCATCTCCCCCCACCTCCCGGGGGCCCTTACCTGCTCCCGAGGGTCCCGCTTCCATCCCATATACCCGTGCGGAGATCAGGCGGCCTGGAGACTGTGGAGTCCAGCGTGAGGGGCCTAGGTACCCCGCACTCTAGCTGCTACGGTTCCCGGGCCGGGCTCGGCTCCCACCCCAAGCCCGGCCGCTCGCGCCGCCACCCCCGCAGCCTCCGTTGCCGCCGCCGCGGAGCCTGCAGCAGCTCCCCCTGCGAGCACCCGGCCAGCTGCCAGTGCGCAGGCGCGACCGCCAGGCCCAGGGGGCGGACGGGAACGAGTCAAGCGGGGCGCTCCGACGGCAACAAAGGCCAATGGAGAGGGGCGGGGGCACCGGGGACCTGATGTTAGCGGCCCCTGGCGGTCACCCGTCAGCATGCAGCCCAGCGGGAGGGCTTTGGTAGAGGCGCAGCGGAACCGCGCAGTGGCGTAAGTGGGGCGGGGCGGGGAGGGCACCCACCAGCAGTAGCCTCAGGCCCTGTGTCTTTTCCCCAAATAGGTCCCTTGGAGCTTACACATAGCCTCCCCGCTTCGCACGGAGCCCCGAGCACATTACGGAACCCCACCTTATTGTCAGGCCCCCTCAACACTCCGAGCACCCTATTACCCAGGGGCCCTGCCTCCCACCTTTCCTCCCAATCTCTCTCATGCTTCACGCTTTGGCTGCAAGGCGACTGTCTCCGAGAAGCCTTTCTCCGTCCCTGTTCACTGAACTCTCTGACGCCACCCTCTTTTCCAGGCCGCGTGCTGGGCGCTGAGACCACAGATATGAAAGAGACCCTGCCTACTCTGGAAGATGTCACACTCAGCTTAAGAGCGACTACAGACCTCTATGTGTGGGACCTGGGAAGCACCTGTCTCCACTTTCTCATCTACTGCTCATGCCTGAACTCAGTCAACGTGCTTCTGTCCTCACCATGTCACTTAAGACGTGTCGAAATTCAAAAGATAATTTTCAAGTCTTACTTCTCTGGCACTATGATTCTCCTCCCCTTTTGAGCCTTCTACTTGTCTTCAGCTTTTTCCGAGATCTGCTGCTTAAGTCCTTTTCAGTTTTCTTCTAGGGCCCCCTTTTGCTTTTGCCCTGTCAACAGGGTTCACCATGATTTCAAACCCAGCTCTCTTCGAATTCAACTCTCCGCTTTCCCCTCGAAGGTTTCATCCATTCTTATGGCTCAACTATCTTTCCAAATCTCTATTTCCAGATAAGTCTCAGACTCATATGTGTAAGTGTCTGCTGGACAGCTCCACCTGGATAGCCTACCAGCACTTTCCATTCAGAGTCCAAAACCAAACTCTCTTTTACCCCACAAGTGTGCTTGTCCTATGCCTTCTATCTCTGCAAATGGCATCTTCATCCCAGATATGAAGTTTCTCTCTCTCCCTTGCTTCTTCCCCCCATTCAGCTGTTCACCAAGTCCTGATATGTTTACCTCCTTCACTACTCACATGATCCCCCTGCCATTCCCATGACTCCTTGTGGTAGTGCAGACCCCTATTATACCTTGCCCAAAGTATACCACTTCCTTGCTAGCCTCACAGTTTCTGGGGAGCTTCCTCTTATCTGGTATGCTGTAGTTGAACAGTGATAATAGACCCAGCTCAAACATCACTTTCCCTTATATTCATCCATATGTATTCATCCATATGTATTTCTTGATGCCTACTTTACACTAGATGCTGTTCAGAAGGCTAGGAACTTAAGAGAAAGACCATACCTAGTCCCTGACCATAGAGAGATTAATTTCTGACCCTCATCACAGTCTGCCTTGCTTCTCTCTAGCAAAGGTTCACAAGCAGTAGGCATCAGACTAGCCTGGAGAGCTTGTTAAAACACTGACTGCAGCCCTGGCCGAGTAGACCAGTTAGTTAAAGTGTCATCCCAATACACCAGGGTTGAGGGTTCCGTCACCGATCAGTGCATAGGGCCTGTACAGGATTCAATTGGTGAATGCACAGATGGGGGGGTGGAACAACAAATCAATTTCTTTCTTTCTTTCTTTCTCTCTCTTTCTCAAACAAGGAAACCACTGATTGCTGAGCCCCACCTCCAGCAATAGGTCTTGGGTGGGACCCAAGAATGTACATTTCTGGGTTTTTTTAAAGATTTTATTCATTTATTTTACAGAGAGAGGAGAAAGAAAGGGGGGAGAAACATCAATGTGTGAGAGATACACCAATTGGTTACCTCTCATGTACCCCCAGATGGAGACCTGGTCCACAACCCAGGCATGTGCCCTGACTGGGAATCTAACCGTCAACCCTTCTGTCCACAGGCTGGCCCTCAATCCACTGAGCCACACCAGCCAGAGCTAATGTGCATTTCTAATAAGATTCCAGATGAGGTTGATACTGCTGATCTGGGGGGACCACACTTTGAGAACTACTGCTCCAGAATATAAAGTTAAGAGCAAAGAGTTCAAAGCCAGACTGTTCTGGTTTCGGTCCCGGTGCTGTCATTTACTAGCTGTGTAACACTAGGCAAATTACTTCTCTGTCTCAATTTCCTCCTCCCCTATTTTAGGGGGTGAAAAATAGTGCCCACCTTGTTGGGCTATTGTTAATACATATAAAGACCTTAGAATAGTACCTACAAGAATGTAGGTGAAGTGTTGGCTGCTATCATAATTATCTGCCTCTTGCACTATACTCTACGATTTTTAAGAATAGGGTCCACCCTCACTGGTGTGGCTGAGTTGGTTGGGCATCGTCCTGCACAGTGAAAAGCAAAAGGTTGCTGCAGGGCACATGCCTGGGTTGTGGGTTCAGTACCTGGTCCCGGGGCACGCACTAGGCAGCCAATCAATGTTTGTTTCTCACACTGATGTTTCTCACCCACTCTATCTTCCTCCCTTCCCCTCTCTCAAAAAAAGTAAATAAAATCTTAAAAAAAAGAAAGAATAGGACCCATTTCAGATGCATTTCTGTCCCCTTTTAATGCCTGCCACAAAGCTGTGCCTAGCATGATCAGTAAGTCTGGGTTGATCTGAATCAAACAGATCAACCTCAAAATATCCTCAAAAATAGGAAGCCCACCCAGACCAATGCGGCTCAGTTGGCTGGGCATCGTTCTGCAAAGAAAAGGTCTTAGGTTCAATTCCTGGTCAGGGCACATGGCTGGGATGTGGGTTCCATTCTTGTAGGGGTGCATTTGAGAGGCAACAGATGGATGTTTTTCTCTCTCACATCAATGTTTCTCTCCCTCTCTTTCTCCCTTCCTTACCCTCTCTAAAAATAAATTTTAAAAATCTTTTTTTTTTAATGGCAATTTTCCTGTCAGACACCGGTGGAGCAAGGAGTATGCATGCAGAGTTTCCCAACAGCTTTACTGCAAAGATGGTCAATGTGCCTAAAATCTGAAGTACCTCCTGTGAGAAGTGTGGAAAGCATCAACCTAACAAACTGACCCAGTATAAGAAGGACAAGGACTCCCTGTATGTCCAGTGATCCAGTTCTAAGCTTTGGGATTCTTTTGTCCTTTTATTTTTTGAGAGGAAAATGCTGAAGCTAGAGAAAAATTACCTGTATGAGAGTACAATAAATGTAGCCTTGGCTGGTGTGACTTAGTGGGTTGCACGTTTTGATTCCCAGTCAGGGCACATGCCTGAGTTGCAGGCCAGGTCCCTGGTTGTGGGCATGCAAGAGGCAACTGATTGATGTTTCTCACCCTCTTTTTCTCTCTCCCTACCCCTCTCTCTAAAAATAAATAAATAAATAAAATCTTTAAAAAATCATAGACATACAAAAAAAGAGAAAATATTCTTACTCATTAAAAAAAAAGTAAAAAACAGCAAGACCTTTCTACCATAGTGTAACTAAGCTGGAAGCTCAGGATTCTGTAAGAATTTGAATCCCTTGTTCTAAATACCAAGCCCCACACTTAAGTTTGTGGAATGGCAATCATCACTATTCTGACTCATCTTCAAAGTGGCTAGCAAAGGCAAGCCTGCCCTGGCTCTTCAATGTCTTTCTCCAGAATGTCTCCATCATCAGGGATTTCTCTCTCAGCGAGGCAAGGTGGTAGAGTATAAGGAAAATCCAGATAACATTTTGGTTTTTTATGCTGACAAACTTCTTCCACTAACTCCTTTTTTAAAAAAATCCTCACCTGAGGATATATTTGCTGATTTTATAGAAGGAAGGAGAGAAAAGAACATCGGTGTGAGAAACATTAATACATTGCCTCCTCTACACACCCCAACCAGAGATCAAACCCGCACCTAGGTAGCATATTTTGCCATGCAGAGTGCACACTATTTTGCCCAATTCTTTTAAGGAAAAATAAGGATGCACATTATACATGGGTATAATGACTGCATACCATGGGTATAAAAATGGATGTAATAATCCCATGTACAGTACACACAAAAACATGAGTGTGCATTACACACAGCACAATATGGTATGTGCCCTGACTGGAGATGGACCTGCAACCTTTTGGTGCATGCGATGGCACTCCAACTGACTGAACTACCCAGCCAGGGCCTTTAGGAACGCTTGATGTACCTTTTCAGAAAGCTGTTTGCTCCTTGTGTTTCCAGTTCAGTTCTTGCATCTCACATCCAGGGCCTCTGTTGTGTGGGCCAGAGCCTGGGTCTTCCGTCTTTTACAGCTTGTCTACAGCTACAGCTTCCTGGTCCCAAAGCGAGAATGGCCTGAAAAAAAGCATTGCATCTCCATCTATATTTTCCTTGCCTTAATATTTAAAAAACAGTCTGGGAACAATAAAATCAAGGTAATATAAAAGACATAAAACAAATTATATATGCCAACAATCAGGAAATGAATCACCAACAGCTCTTGCATGCACAGCTTCCTTTTATCTGTAATAAAATGTACTTCTTATATACCATGTTTTGCTGTGTATAATGCACACCCACACTTTTGGCCCAAACTTTCAAGAAAAAAACTTATTTTAATTTTTAAACTCTATTTATTTATTTATATTTAGAAACAAAACCAATTATTGTATTCCAGGGTATTATTTTGCATATGGGTATTGTTATTGCTTTCTAGTTACACTTTTAACACATAAATAAAAAAATTAAAAACATTTATATAGATACAGAATTAGTCATAGTCATGTATAATGTGCATACTTATTTTTCTCTCAAAACTGTGCACATTATACATGGCAAAATGTGGTATTACAGAAACTAATTTTAAAAATCAGAAACATGAATAGGGCAAAGTGGGGGAAAGGGGACATCTGTAATAATGTCGACAAAAAATAAAAAGAAAAAAGAAATCATGAACAATGAAATTAATAAATA